GCGGCACCTCAGGCGAGCAGCCAATGGGGGACGTAACTTTCCAGGTGTTTGTTTGTCTAGGCGCCCTTTTACCCTTTTTTGGGCGAGGGTTCCCCTACTAAAATAGACTACAGAAAAAGGATACCCTTACAGTATTGTAAGCTCTTTACTGGAGGATCTAGCTGTATCTTGGAAACCACTTGAAGGAGTCTTATTTCACTTGGTATACTTTGGCCCTGGTTCCAAAAACGCCACGAACATTGTTTCCCTTCAACATCGTGCCCTCTGTTGGGTGGAGTTTAATGTTGGGGGTGCCACCAGTCACCGGGGATCTCTTTAATGAGAAAGTCGGGGGTCTGGGTGCGACTTCGATTTGCTAGTACTTACTTTAAAGTTTGGTATTGCAAATTCTAAATGTAGTATTGCCAAAACTTACTCTCAGACTCCCATTGCTTGATTTGCCAATACTGAATTTAGTGTTGCCAAGACTTATCCCTCAGACTCCCACTACATGTTGCAGATACTTAATTCAGTATTGCCAAGACTTACCCGTCAGAGTCCCAGTACTTACTTGCGTATTGCCAAGTCTATATGTAGTATTGCTAAGGCTTTGACCTTTGAGCTGGGAAGAGCTTAGGATGAACCACCCCGTAAAAATACAGGGCTAAGGCTTTTGTTTTTGGAAATTCACCCACCCCCAAAAAGTTGGACATGAACGCAAACCTCAAAACAATCACATTTAACAGACAAGGCATCTGGTGGGGTAACCCCCTTTGGACCCCTTGAGGGAGACAAGGATTGCAAGGTTTCAAGCCTTGCTTGCGTTCACAGGACAGGATGCCCCTTAAACTCCAAATGATACAGAATCAAAACCTAGATGAAGGTTCATTGGAGGCAGCCCCAGCCAGCATGGGTTTTGGTCGACCACTTTACCGTACTTTAAGAAACTAATGAGGCTCATAGAGGGGTTCCCTTGCCATAGCGAAGGCCACATTGTTCTTCGCAGATATCGTCTGAGGCAATCGCTTGGCTGACGAGGCAGAGTACCGTCGCTGTCGTGGATGCCACGCAGACAACAAACGGTGTGTTTCCTCCTGGCTTCTCTGCGTGCCAAGACACGTGGTTTGTACCTTCCGTGATGCCCTCGGCACATCTCGTTGTGGACTTCTGGCACGTTGGTGCCACTTTTTGTGAAACTTTGGGGGACTCCCGTTATTTTGACAGAGTAGTTATGGTTGGATGGGAACTTAATCTAACTTCAAGATCACAGACAAGGGTCCATTCTCATGACACCAACCAGCAGGGCCTTGACCCTTTGAGGGGACACCCAGCATTTGGGTCTGTCTTTCTTAAGGAACCCCAGTAAAAAAGGGGCTTCAATCTTCCTCTGGTGCCCCCTTAAACAAACCCTCCAAAGCGTACGTTCAGGGTTCCCGGGCAGTTTGCAGCGTGAAAGAACGCGAAACCAGAGGTTCCCAACCAAAAGGAAAAAGCACGTTTGATCTGCTGGCCAGATGGATATGGCTAGACCAGAGAAGCTCGCTGAGGAGGACACAGCGTGGTGCGCTTGAAGTGGTTGGTTTTTGGTTGGACCTGTACTTGAATCTATATAGGGAGGGTTTTTTGTGGCCCTTTGGTGGACATCATTTGGGTGAGGATTCATATCCACCAACCACTTTAGACACTTGAGGTTAGGTGAATTTGTCCGGTTATGGTCAAAGTTTGTGAGGGACATGGGAGAACTCCGCAAAAACAAGACTCACTCATTTGCTCATGGCCTGCTGGGGGGATCCAACAAGTTGTACCGTGGCTCATAAACCCTGGGGAAGTCCGTCCCCATGCCCACCGACTCTGAGATTCCTATACTAAATACTGCAAGTCAACCAACCATACTCATCCAATTACTGTAAATTGGAGCTTGCTTGCACCATGTAGGTCATCTGGAGCTTTGACACTCGTGTTTTTCTTGACTGGGCAAATGACTGTTGGTAACGGAATGTTGATCCTGACTGGTTCACATTTGGGGCTCAAATTGAGCGTTCCGACCAGCTTTTGCGAAAAGAGGAGCCTGCCGCATTTTGAAGGTGCCAGAAAGGGCCCCGGAAATTTTGCGAAGCCAGCTGACTGGTTGGACACCCTTGTGTTTCCAATGAAGGAGCAACTCCATAGGCTAGTCCCAGAGTGCCAGCCAAAGGTCTGGGGTTTCGGGTCCGATCCTCGCACTTTCACCTCACCCTACCCTTGGAGAGTCCCAAAGTTTGACACGTGCCACGGATGCTTTCTCGTTTTCCCGCTTCTTGAACTTTGTACTTGGGAAGCTTAGACTTTTGTGGTAAACAACCTCTCAAGCGAACTTCTGCAAATTTTATTCTGCCGCCCTTTGTGGCAGATGTTTCAATACGGATGTGGTTGGACTATGCGCATTGCTGTGTCCGTGGGGTCTAATGCGGGATTGGTTTGGCCCGAGGCGAGCCAGAGGTTTGTAGGTTCCGTAGCGTGCGTACGGCCAGGAGCGCAAAGAGAAGGCTCGCCGCCCCGTGCGGACAAGGGCCTGTATGCTGTGTACAGGGAAAACCACAAGGAACTCCAACCGATATTTTTTTTTTAGGGGTCCACTCCGTGAGGACACGACCTGTTGGTCAATTTTTAGTATATATTTCCAATTTGCCAGGTACCCTGAGGTGCTCCTGCCATTTTTGCCACGTACCCTGAGGTGCTCCTGCTATTTTTCCAGCGGGACATGTCGCATTTCCTTGGTGCCCGTGCTGCTTTGCAGCGAACCACCCAGTTTGACGCTTGTTCCGAGGACCCCTGAACGGACTACCAGGGGCGACCCAGGTCGCCAGGGCAACCGTTCTCCCGTGCGAGGTCCTGAACGAGGTCTGCAAAATGGCGCGGTCCTTATGGAAGGAAGGCGCTGAATGCCCAACCCCCCGCCTTTTTGTCTATATGTCGTAGTTTGAAGTCACTTGGGGGTGCGTAGCCTGATTCATGGCTTGATGCGTGCTTGCGGTCACCCGGTTGATTTGCACGCACAGTCACCCTGCGCTGGCTTCAGCTCGTATATCAAGGAGCATTTGCGGCTCCTTAATTTATTTCTCTGAGCAAAGGAAACGAGACGCACAGGCAGCGGGTGTTCTCAACAACCGCGGTACCGGACCCTTTTCTTCTTGGCCAGGGGAACCAATAGGAAACGGTTTTAACTACACTTTTAGGGCCTGGACTACTGCCTTCCAGACAAGCCCATCTCACTCACTAGGCAACATGTGTCTAAGGTCCTATAGAACATACCCCAAGTAGACATACCACACTTATAGCCTTAGAGTTGTTGTTTGGTACGTTCGTTAGATCATCCCTGCAAATGCCCTGCATCACCCATCGATCTACCCTCCCTCCCTCGGACATAGCAACTCTGGGAGACCGGGGAGATCAGCTTCCACTTATAAGACCGTTTCCTGGGTATGTTGGGAGGGTGCAAAAAATGGCTGTGGTTGTCAAAACCAATGGGATCCCATTTTGGTTGGTAGGTGAATTCACCACCCAGTTTAGAACCTATTTTAGTGGGGATTGGGATTTTCACTGGACCCATGGCCATATCGGGACCTTAGAGCCTTGGGAGCATTTTGGGACCTGGGAAAGCGGGCTGAGGCCGGGCGCAGGGCCGGGCGCTCAGAGATTTCGGATATCCCGGCGGGTTTTGGTCGTTTTAGGCCTTTCCGCTTAGGGCCTATGGGCGTGCTTTTTGGGGTTGGTTTGAAAGGGGAACACTGATTTTGAGGGCCCTCCCCCCGGTTTGAACTGAGACGCAATCCAATTTGGGTAAGCGAAGGTGAGTAAGGGGCCATCGCAAGCATAGCTCCAAACATCCGCACTCCTAATTTTGGGTAAACACATTTACCAGGTGGCCCCAGGCTGGGCAACAAAGAGTTCCTTGGCTGGAGTCCTAGCAGAATTGCTTTGGTTCTGTTTAAACGCCCGAGTTGGTTCCCATGGATTTGGAGCGGCAGGACCTAGAAGGTTGGAATCGGGATGGTCTAATAGACAGATGTGGCTTTGAGACTAGTGGACAGCCACGGTTTTGATCACGACTCAGCTGACATGTAGGATTGAGTAAGCCCTCAGCCCAAATATATGGATTGCGCAGGTACTTTACGAGCAAAACTCACCTGTATGCCTTTCCCACGAAGCCGTCAATAGGTACCGGGGCTCTCCACTCCTTGATTCATCCGGAGTCCCTTGGCCCCGTGTCACTCTCAAAGTCAACTAGGTTCAAGGGGAAACCAGCCAGTTTCTGACTTCCAGAAAGAGACAAAGGACACCAACCGATTAAAAATAAAAAATAAACACCCAGCAACTCTGAAACTTTGACAAGTCCAGAAAAGAAAAGAACAACAGGTTGGCCCAGGGGTTTAGGGTTTAACTCGGAAACCAGTTTTCTTGACTGGGCCATGGGCTGGGCTAAAGAAAATAAAGAAGAAAACAAAAGAAAAACAAGTTTTGCCCAGTTCCCATGTTGATGGCCCTTCCGAGGCCGGGAAGTTGAAGGAGCGGCTCATGGCGGCCACCGCCAAGGCGTGCATCGATCCATCGATCGATCCTGTTTTCTTCCCGCGGCTTGGCGCGCGGGGAGACTCACCCGGTGGTCTCGTGTTTTTTTTTTTTGGTCTTTTTGGCGGGTTTTCCCGATTGGTTACTGGGTTTACCATATGGGTGGCTGAAAATGAAGGACTTGGGATTACGCGGGGTTTAGTCTTGTTGCCAGTTGCCAAGGTGCCATGTTAGAGCGTTTGAGCCACAGCCAAATTCATGCTTGTTCTCAGAAGGGATTTCTTCACCTTCAAACAGAAACTTGGTTTTCGCATTTCTTTCCCCTGGCGATTGAGAAAATGGCCGGTTTTCCGGGCTTCCCGTGCCTCGCGGCTTTTGCTTTTGGCGTGATTTGATGTTTGGTTCGGTTTCGACGTTTGGGAGAAGCTTGTGGTTCGGCACCCTCTTCCGTTTTTTGTTGGCTTCGCCACTGAACCCTGAGGTTCCTTGTTTCCGTCGCCATTGAACGCCTAGCTGGTCTTCCCAAAATTGTGGTGCTCACATTGCGCGCAGACGATGGAGCACTGGCTTTCAGGCCTCCACGCAATCTGAAGCTGCCCAGGTGAGATCACGCTCAACAAGCATAGGCGCGGGGGCCGGGGGCCAATCGCACGAGATTCATTGTTGGGCAACACTCTGGGAGCCAGTTCCGAACATGGAGGAGCTTTGGACCTGTCTAGAAACTGTCGGGTGCGCGTCGAACTTGATTTCACCCGCCTCTGTGAGTGTAGAGACTTCTTGTTCGTTTGATTGTGTTTTTGGACGGGGGTCCAAATCGATGCCAAAATTGTCAAACTCAGACCCTGCTTGTGAGCCTACCGTAGATGGATACATATTCAAACCCCTCAATGACTTCACACTGCCACTCCCCTTACCCCCCCAAACTCCACGTTCCGAAGGGGGTTCCCTAAGTCAGTGCAACGGGGTTTGATCTCTTTGTCCATTGGCTGGATCCTTCCGAAACGCTCAACATTGATTTGTTTGGGTGCAGGGATTGCAGTGCAGTGCAGGATTTAAGTATTTCGTCCATCTACGGCAGGTTCCCCCCGATACAAAACCAGCTCCCCGATCTACAGTGTTGTGCTCAAGCTCGGACCTTGCATGACTCTCTGTTTGGGGAAATAAAGCTGGCCGGCTCTATATATATATATATACACGTAATTTATATAGTCAGTGGTTCTTACAGGGATTACATTCATCCATACAACAATTTAAATGTGTTGGCTGCCTTTGTTTCGGGGACACGTGTGTGAACAATGCATGGTACACAACTAAATACTATACTACACATATATATATATATATACACATGCAATTATATTTGTATTATCATTAAAACAGTTGTTACGTGTATATATATATATATTCTATATATATATATATGTATTACTACACAAATGCGCTCAGATAATCAGAACATGTTAATAACATATTTACGTGCATAGGCCAAACAAGCAAGTTAACTATTCACATATCAGTTTGCGTCTAGTATGAACTAATTTTATACGCACTGTTTAATACATGAGCTTCTCACGGTTTTAGCACACCATTCTGCTTTGTTCTATAATTAGGGCTTGAAATTTGATGGTTATTGAGTGGTTTGCGTTTATCTAATTATCAACTATGCCACGTGTAGTCGTTTAATGGCAACCATATACATAACCCCCTTTGAGCCTTCACAACCTGGGTGGATGAAGAGTAAGGGAAAGGGCCAACCATCAGCTGGTGCGGATTTCTGCCCTTTTAGTTCTTTGCCGTGGGTTTGGGGTAGACCACTTCACAGTTGGGTGAGATGGCACAATGCCCCGCATGGTTTAGTCATTCCCTTTTCTTACCCAAAACGGAATTGTACTACTTGCCACCTCAGCAGCGTTTTTCCGGGTGGTATTTTTTGTGCTTCGGGGGGAGGGGTCTGGCAGGGTGCTAGAAGCCCGCAGCCCGGAAACTCCTGTCGCGGGACCTCGCTTTTCATGCCAGGTTGAAGGTACCATTTTGGGATAGGTGCACCACCCATGTGAGTCTATTTTAGTTGGGATTGGGATGTTCACTGGGGGCTAACCGGGCTTTGACCCATGGCCATACTGGATGGCTCACTCTGGCCAGGCCCCAGCAAGAAGCAAGCCATGGACCCCGTGCGCGAGGGCTCGCCCTTCGGGAACCCGGCCCAATGGCATAAGCCTGGCAGGACGCCGGCGTCCGCGTCCGCTTTCAGCGCGCGCGAACTGCATGCAAAACTGGACACTTCCCCAGAATTAGCTCCCCCTTCTTTTTTTTGGGGGGGGTCCCTTTGTTTTCCTCTAACCAGGCAAAGAAGATCATGTTTTGCCGGGGTCCTAATTCCAGCAGGAAATTGCGCCCAACAGCTGACAGCTGGCAAGGGTTTTGCCTAGTGAATTGAGAATATGAGAATCATGAGTGTGAATTGTAAGGGATTACATTCTTGGGTATTTGATTGCATTCAGATTCCTTGTAAACAAACGATGCAAGTAGCATAGCTGTCAAACACAGGTATCAAACACATCTCAACAGGGTGTCCTTTTGCATTTCTGGGACACGTGTCCAAGCATCGACTCCAAATGGCTGGCTTCCTCTATAGGTACTCCCCTTCCCCTGCCCTCCTGTTCCATTCTCTTCCCACACCCATACGGGGAGACGGGTGGTTTCTGAATGAAACGGGTAAAGAGAATTGGGAATCAAACCCCAGATTCGACTTGTGCGGTCCAGGTCCGGTCGTGGCACGAAGGAATGTAGACCCTTGTAAGGGTTTTGGCCACAGCACATTTCAAATGTCTGTCTTGCACTGTGCAACCCCTATTCGCATTCTTCAATGGAGTGTCTCCCCCATGGAGTTGATTTTTCGGAGTGAGGTACTCATGATTTTATCTGAAGTAGACATGTGTTACCAGTCGAATGGCGAGCAGCCACTCATGCTTTCTTCCAATACGGGAATAGGTTTCCCGAAGGGGATCGTTTCTTCCACAGGAATGCTTATCAAGCGTTTGAGAGATCAGTCTAGAGAGTAGACAGCCATCATAGAGCTTCATCTAGAGGGGCCACTTCTGTTTTTTTTTGGTCTATTCATAGGAGCCCAGGATAAAAAACACCCCATATCAATAACAGGTGTCCAGTTTAGTAGGAATTCTTCACGCTTGTTCGTCTACAAGAAATTTCAGCTTGAAGGGACGACATGGAACCCCCACCGCGCAGCACCTTGAGCGCAGGATCCCGTCGTATATGAAAGAGTCAGGCCAGCCGCGGTCGTCCGGGCCGCGTGTTGGGGGAAGGTGATGCGCCCTTTTGGGTTTTGTAGGGAGACTCCGGGGTTCAGAGAGTTTTGGGGACGACATAACTCCAGCAGGCAGACGAGGTCCACATCCAGGGGGGTGCTGTACATTTCCAATAGCATGGGTTCTATGGATGCAGAAGGGGGCTTCCCCAAGAAGGAAAGTAGTCTTCGAAAACCTTCGTGACGGCTTCCATGATTGTTGGGAGGGTGAATGGAAAAAGAAATGCCTTAGGGGAGGGGATCATGGAGCATCGGAGCTAGGAGTCATAGGCCCTAAAGATTGAAGCGAGTGTTGTCGCTAGGCTCCTGGAACTTTGCCGCATGGTGCTGGCCACACTTCCAAATCGCCCCATGCCAACGAAGATCGCCACTGTGATGCTGTGACATTCGTGATAAGCTGTTGGTTTTCGAGTCGGACTGTTTTGGAGTTCCCCGGTTCGTTTTTTTTTTTTGACATGAATGAAGCCACGGTCTATGTCGTTTTCAAGGTTCGCTGGCAAGCTCAAGCCGTCTATCAAGCCAACTCGCAGCAACCCAGATCAAGGCCCCCAACCAAATCTAGACCCAGTTTGCCCTGTGCCTTGTGCCAACACCAAGCCGTGCAAGCGTGGGCTTCCGTGCAACTAGTGCCCATCCAAGCCAAGACGCAGGCGGCTGGTCGCCCCGGCGGCCGTCCAGGCACTGGACCTCGGAGAACTTGGTGCCCGGGAGCCCGGTGAGTCTCTGAGCCGCGAGAGCTCCTTCCAAGGTTGCGCTTCGGCCGTGGGAATCTGGGGATGAATCTGCGTCCAAACTATATAGGCCTTTGGTTCCTGCTGGTTGGAAGTCATCTCCGAGTTGGAGGCGGTTGGTCACAGCAACCTGAACTTGGCCGAACTTCAAGCAGTACAGTAAGCCTGTTGGGGTCAGTGAACATTTGGCCGGCTGTTGACTTGTACGTTTTCTTCCATGTTTGCTGGGAAACATGTTTTTGCTTCCGAGGCCCCTTGACGATACCATCTGATGGAGTTTTCTGATCGCAATTTGATCTCGGCGTCGGGCAAAGAATATCCCGCGGCGCTGCGGACATGTCGAGCCCAATTTGTAAATGTCGCTTTCGCAGTTGCCATGTTGAGAGATCTTGTCTTTGGTTGTTTCACTCGACTAAAAGGACGTCACCGATTTTGGGGCTTCCCCCCAGTTGGAGAAGCAATCTTTGCTGTGAATGCTTGCATGGCAACTCGCTGGAATGCATTCGTCAACAGGCGGCTGAAGCAAATTCAACAAGGTGGTTCTTCAAACGTTCATCTGCAGATCAACATGGATTCTATAAACACGTATCTTGGAGGATTTTTTGGATTCCTTGCCTTAATTTAACTTACCGATGCAATGAGGGTGAGATGGATTTGCTGCAGCTGCCAATCTGTAGGGTTGATACATGCAAAGCTTTGTCGAGCTCAAGGCAAAGGGGCTGATGGCAAATGCACATGCTAGCTTCATAGAAGCCGGTGCGGGGAAAACAGCGCGTGGGATTCTGAAAGGTTCCGCTACCCCCCCCCCAGAAAAAAAGAAACACAAAAAAGCACCCACCCTCTTGGGAAATAATTGAGCTCCAAAACCTTTATGCGATGGTTTACAGAGGTTGTATATCCTCTGCGGGAAGTGGTTTGGGAGGGGTGGCTGGGTTGATACGCAAATTCGCAGCATGGCCTCAGCCCCCTTTCGGGTTGTAACTTTGAAGGAGACCACCGGCCAGTCGTTTGGCTGCTATCAGGGTACGTTTCCACGTAATCCTCTTGCCGCGCTTGGCATCGAGGCTAGTCTAGCAGGTAAGAGCCGAGAGCAGTGTTCCCTCTGATTGGACGGCACCACATGTTGCGAGCTGTTCAGTGGCACCCTTTTTCCCCAAAAGGGATTTCCTGTTCATGGACAGGGTCACAGGGTAAACGGGTTTTGCTGCATGACTAGCAATCCAGAGTGAAGGTTGACTTATGCAGGCGCCTCTCTGCGCAGATCTGGCAGCCTCACCCTGGGTTGGTTTGTGATGCGATGCGAGGGGCCACGAACCGCAAGGCTCGTAGAAGAACGGTAGAACGTGTGAGGCATCTCCCAGATGTGCCTCATTCGAGTGTTTCCCCAGCCAGCCACACCAGGCTTCCGAAATGGGGTTTGTTCAGGCCCAACTATGGGAAACCTCCCCCAGGCCCCCATTCCCAACCTCTAAGAACTGTGTGGAAGGGGTGATACCCCCGTTACGTGGGTACGAGGCAAATAGAGGGTTCCTTGACACCTCATGAGGATGCCAAAAAGGTCATTTGATCCACCCTCATGAGGCACTTGCGCCCTTAAGGCGGGGTGCTTCCACGTGCTATTTTTCTGAGTCTCGGCAGCTTGAAGGTTTTGTTTCATGTTGGTGTCGCATGTGCTTACCTTGCTGGTGCTCAGTAGGGAATGCGAAATGGAATGCCCCCCAAGAAAACCTTCCAACTGGTGGTTTCCTTTCAGGGGACCCCAAAACGGTTCATTCCCAGGCACCCTTGGAACCCCAAGAAAAAAACTCCTCGGAGGACTTCGAGCCGAGCACGGAGAGCGCGCGGGACGGAGTGAGCGCCGCGGAACGGAAGGCGCTGGAGGCGATGCTGAAAGTGGCAAACACTTCCTCATATGTCATCCAGCCATCCCAACTTTTTTTTCCACAAGGAAGGAATTGTCCATTTACTTTCACGGTGTAATTTCTTGGCAGCTTGGTGATATTCCAATGGGCTTGGGTCTGAATGACTCACCGTGAATGCTCTTTGGCTGCATCAACCTTCACACTTTGGGGGAATCACCCCGGAATACTCCACCAGGTTTCTTTATCCGCTGTGGATGGACGAAGTTGTGCACCATCTGGGATGGATAAAGCCCTACAATTGGACAAGAAAATGACACTGCGCCCCTCAGATTTCCCCTAGATTGACTTCCTCCCACCCTAGGGGAATTCCTCAAGTAGACATGATTACCCGCTGCCCACAAAGTTCTCCCCAAATCAATGCATCCCCTCTAAAATGGGACATCCCCCATGAACCGGCCAGGGGTTTATCAATACGGGGTCAACATTACCACGGGTGGGGGGGGTGTTCAACCGATTTGCAGGTCCCAACTAAACAACCTGCACCAAACCCCCTTTTGAAGAAGTCCCGTTTCAAGTGCTCCAACTGCATCTTTCCGGGACAGAATCCACAAGTTCTATCATGAGATACCAAGTGGAATGATGTTGACTTTGGTGGATGAATCCAGAGGACCACATTCATCGGAGGAAGTCCACCAACATGAGCCTTTTTCCCACCGAAAAGGACGCCCGCCCCTGATTAGTGTCCTTATTGTTATCCGAAGTTGACATCAAATGAGGAACGCTTGACGCATTCCTGGCATGGTTGGGTTTCCCTCTAGTACAACACGTTCAGCCCCTTCATGTAAAGCAATGCCATTAGACCAATCCGGGCACGTGTATGACGTGTATAGGAACGCCTCCAGAAAGTGACCCCTGTTCCTGGTTCCTTGAGGCGAGCCCAAGCTGCTGGCTCTTTCCTTGATGGTCCCTCTCAATTTTGCAGTGTCAGGTCTTGGACAGGGGATCCAGAAGGTTTCACTGGTTGCGTTGGGCCGATGACACGCGACGCCCGCTCGCTTCTGTTCCCCTCGTTTTTGGGGGCCTCTTCTGGCCCACAAAGGAGGATGAACAGAAAGCCGAACGTAGGCAGAACCTGGCGGTTTTATTGAGAGCATGCCGCCCCCAGATCCGGATTCCCTGTTGCTTCCCCAGTTTCTTGGCTTACAACTTGTTGGGAAGAAACCAATAGTGGTAAACAACAAATGCAGGTGCGTCTTCTGGCCAGTCCACCAAAACAGTAGCTAGTGGAACCAGTTTCCGCTACTATAGGCAACCAGGATGTTTACCTCCATGTTTTATATGGCAGTGTCTTCAATGTGGGCCTAAAGGGAACATATGTGTTAAAGTTTCCCTTTGGGCCTCCGTTTAAAGCACTCCCAAAAGGGTGTCTTTGAAAAAGACGAGCCACGGGATGGTTTCCCTTCCAATCGGATCAGGGGGCAGGGAACCTGAGCCTCCCTGGACTGCCCCTTAGCAATTCTGCACTGTCGCATGTTCCCAAAGTGCTTTTGGGTTTGCTCTTTGGGTGGCCAAAAAAAAGAAAAGGAAAGAGGTCGCTCTTCGCTGCCAGTTTTTTTGGAGCTCTTTGACACACGCTGTCAGGTTTTTGGAGCTGTTTGATTCTCCTCACACGCCGATCGGGAGGACCTGCCCCGCTCAGGAGCAGCTCACCAAGCTCCGGCGCCATCACGAAGAGGCGCCGAGACGGCCGCGCGGCGCTCGCGGCGTCCGGGCGAACTGTTTCTGGGGAGGCGGTGCCTTTGGCTGCGTTCTTGAGGGTCCCTCCCAAAAAGGCGCCTTGGAGCCAAGTACCAAGGCTCAAAACCTGGTAATTGTGTTGGGGACTTGTCGTCGGATGAAGAGAGATTGAAATGAGGGTGTGGGTGTTGGTGGTGCTGGAGGTGCGTTGTTTGTTGGAGCTGGTGTGCCTTGGGAGAGCTTGTGCTTTGGAACGCTACACTTCTGATTCGTACCATCGGAGTCCCTTCAGCCAACGACACGCATTGCGGCAATCCCAGGGCTTTGATGGTGGGGCGCTTTCAGGATATGCTGGGTGCAATTCTGGGGACATTCCCCGGCCGTGGTTTGAACCAGGACCTTTTGGAAAGGCTAGTGAAAGTGAGTTTCCTTGTTGTGTGATGTTGTTGGGTTGGACGCATGGTTTAACATCACGGTATGCCCATTTTGAAGTGTCTGTTTAGGGGTTGTTTGAAAATGACCCCAGAGGAAACCCAAGCCCATCTTAGAGGTGCACTCGAAAATGGTTGGCGGAGACAGATTCAAAGCTTTCACTGGCCAATTCAATTAGTAGGCTTCATGGGCATACGAGCAAAAAATCCCTCATGACCACTTGGTAGAACCAAAGGTCCATGGGCTTAGGGTGCTGCTCATTTGAACTCATACCAACACTGCCACCAGGCTGAGTTGAAGTCTCAAAAAAAGATCGCCGGGCCCTCAGTGCCCAGTCCGGAGACGGGTGGTTTCCTTGTGGCTTCCTTCAACTCCTAATATTAGTCGGCAAATGGTTTTCTCGAGTTCCCATCCCAGGACTCTTGCGGTGTTTGGCTAACTTTCCGGGAGCTTTCTTAGAGAAACTGAGGGGATCATGGTGGAGACTTGGTTTTGGGACCCGTCGAGTGTGGACGTCTTGCGTGCCTTCCTGTGGCTCGTGGCTCGAGCCGTCAGCCGTGTCTCTCTCGGTTGCCGCGTTGAGCTCTCTGCCTAGGCCAGCCGTGTTTGGTTCCTTGCCTCCGCCGAGCTGCTCTCCGCGTGACCCTTCGTTGCGTCGCCCCGCGGCCGATCTTCGCCTACCCGTTGCCTGCTGCCAGCTGTGTTCCTGCTGGCTGCCCTGAGCCTCTGAGTCGCCTTACCGCATGGGCTGGCCTCTGCCTTTTTGTTTTCCTTTTTTTTTTCCCAGTTGTTTCTCGATGGCACGCCCGTCGCCGTGGCGTCTCACTTTGTACGTTACCCCAGTGCTTGCATGGGGCCCGCTGCTGGTAGGTGGTCCTGCAACTACCCGCGAATATGTGCATTTCATTTTGGGGCATCTTTCATGGGTCTGCAGACCCTGTGATGATAGATGCCACAAGCGGCACGCTTCGACGTTTCAAGACCGGTTTTGGGACCAATTTCTGTGACAAGGGAATGCTCTTTGAAGTAGCCCAAGAGTCGTGGGGATGTCCTGCTTTGGTATCACAGACCTTGCTCCTCGACGCAAAGTGTGTGTCAGGAATGGTTCGTCGAGTTTTTGACCATAGCCATACCTTATTGGATAGCGTTGACACCCGGAAGGCAACTCACCGTCTCAAGGACAACCCGGGAAATTGCAGGTAGACAATACCTACTTTCCAGCTATAAAGCAACTAAGAAGCAGCCGGGCTTGGCCAGAATCTCGCCAGATGCGAGCGCAACTTTCCTCCAAATTGCTACTTCAGCCTAATACATAAATACGCCCTCACTCAGCGAAAACGGCTTATATCCAGAATTGACCCATGCACCTTGTGGATTATCACAGTTGTCATTGTCTTTACTGTCATTGTGATCATTATTGGCATGGGCAGTTGTATCACCAAGGCTCGGAGTGCACAGGGGAAAACCAAGAGCATGTCAGCTGGTGCACATGGAACCTTATTCAACGCTGTCAGCAAGCCAGGGCTCCTGGACATGCCCTGGAAGAGCGACGTTTAAACCTTGAAATCAAACGCGCGAAACGTGACAAGGAGACATGGAAACGAAAAAGGTCGCAGCACTTCATAGACATCAGAACCAGCTGGAAAAATATCAACAAGCTTCTATATAATTTGTCAACGGCCATTGCGCCCCACTGCATCAGAGTGGGCGCCGCGGGATGACGCTAAGGGTCAAACTGCAATAGCGGAGGCCGTTGCAGCCATTGAGAACCTTAAACTCAAAGCAAGGCGCCAGCGCCGGACGGTACAACTGCCGAGCTCCACAATTGGCTAGACGCTCAAAACGTTGCCTCAACGCACTCCGGAACCCTGCATATGTCCCAGATGATTTCTCGCAAGCGTTTGTGGCAGGCTTGTACCAGAAAGGAGACCACGAGAATCCGTAAAATTAAAGACCAACCTCTTTGCTGAATGTCACATACAAGGTTTTTGCAGACGCTCCAGGATGTCAAGCGCGGTAGAACCAATACTTGGACAATCCCAATATGCCCTCCACGCTGGTAAATCGACTGCAGACCCCTCTATTGCGTCCGGCGACAGTCAGACGTCGCTGAACAAGGTCACGAAACGTTGTTTCTTCTGTTCCTTGACTAAGCTTTCGAAAAGCTGGACCAACCAAAGATGTGTTTCTTCACTAGACTCGGCGTTCCATCTCACTTCATTGTCCGAACCAACTCGCTGCAACCCCTTGTTCCAAGTTGTTCACCATGCCAACGCCAGCGCATGGAGAACACAACAAACCGATATAAGACAAGGATGCCCCCTGCTCTTTGAGCCCTGTTCATTCTTACCATGCATTGCATGTTTGTGGACATCAACGAAAGACACCATGCCCCTCAACTCAGGAAACGTTCCAAGGCATCAACTTTCACGAGCTTCCACAGTATTCGCAGATGACAACTTGACCCGTGCCAGAAGCGCGCACACCGCAAGCAAATACCTGCGCTTAGTGGAGGAAGAGTCCGACCACTTCCACATGAAACTGAACAAAGGCAAGTGCTGCTATGTCGCTTTCAATGCACTTGGGCCGGTCAAGCTCAAAAGCGGCAAACACATGGAATCAGCAGACACTGCAATGTACTTGGGAGCCCAAGTTAGCAAAACTGTCAACCCAAAAACACGAGATCAAGCGACGCATCTCCGCCAATAAGCAAGTTCTGTAGCAAAACAAACAGCAACAAGAAATGCACATCCGCGGAGTTCAACGCCGTCTTACTTTCAAAGTCCTATATGGGCTGGAGACGTTGGAGCCAACGGACTGAGTTGCAAGCCTTCTAAACACATTCCAGTTGAAAGGGCTCGGCAGGATTCTTGAACTTCACACCACGTACATGCAAAGACCGAACGGCATCGGGTAGGTGTACAAAAGAGCGAACGAGGTTCTTCAGGCTCCAAATGCTCATATCTACACAACCTGGACACACACACATTCATGCATGCATGCATGGAAAACGAAATACGTACATACATACACGCACACACGTGCATGCATGCGCCTGCGTGCATCCATACATACATAGCATATCATACCACACTATATCATAACACAACACAACACAACGTAATGTAACATACCGTACCACAACATAACATAACACAACATAATATAACACACCACAGCAGAACGCATCATACCAGAACATACATATATATATATATGTTTTTGTTTTTGCGGCCCAGATGTTCGCTGGTGATCTCCGGCTTTGTTGCTCGCATTCCTTTCAGGTGGAGCTGCTGGAGAAGCAGGCGGAGCAGCAGAGGGGGCTGGACGAAGCCAAGGACGGCCGACGGGGAGAGTGGAAGTTCCTACTGTGGATGGACGAAATCCTGCACCACTCTGAAGCCTTGGGAAGCTATTTGTTTGTTGGTATTGACAGGGGAATCATCATTCTGGGACTTCTTAGGTGGTGCAGGATTTCATCCACCCACAGTATGGGTGTCTTTTTTTGGGGGAATTGGCTTGCGGTTGGTTTAAAGGGCAACCAACAGGAAATCACCATTCAGAGCCAGAGCAAGTTTTGGAGGTGTTCTTTTGACCCAGCCGTTGAGTTGTCCATGGGAGGGTGTGAAGTCCCTCCGGTCAGAGGGTTGCTTTTGGGTTCTGCTTCTGGAGAGCAAGGTGAGCCTCTGCCGAATTGTAACTGGTGACCATTAGGGGCCATGAAGGACGATAGAACCCCATGGCTATGGCTCCCTTGCTATGGCTCCCGTGCTATGGCTCTGAATCGGAAAGGGAGACGTCAGGTGCCGATGCGCTTCCTTGGGGATAGAGGTGGTCATGGATCCGTTAGGTTTTTAGGCAACGATTGTGAGGATTCCCTGCCTTTGTAAATGTGGCAGACTCTGTTCTATTTGGTTCGGCAGTGAGAAGCTGATTGGGTGGTGATTCAGTTTTGAATGAGCCCAATCCTTGTGGCCAACGCAGCAGGGTCCCTGGGTCCTGGTGGAAAGCCTCGGCACCGAGCCTCGGCAAAAGGAACCACAGCCAAAATGTTCCTTCGCTCGTGGCCACAGTTTTGCAAAATTGGGTTTTGGGGTGTCACTTTTTGTGAGTGGCCCTTCAAAGTCAAAAAGTAGTCACGGGAGTGACTCACGTTGGTATCACATTTCGGGCCCAGTTTGTTCCCGATTCCCGCCACACTTTGTTTCCAGCGGTCCTTCTTTACTTTCAAATTGGGCAAAGCCGCCTAAGGGTGATTCTCCACAACCATGCCCCAGACACTTCCGCAAGGGAAAGTTGGATATGTACCTTTTATTTAGCTGCAGAGTGGTATACAGGTATACACCGTGCCCATGTTGTTTCCAGGTTCTTTGTTTCTTGTTGTTCTTTCTAAGAATTGGGGCCAGCCTTACCTTGCGCTCGTCACACCCGACTCGTTCTTCGCAACTCTTCCCTTCGTGCCTTTGCCCGCCAGCCAGGACAAGCATCGGGAGTACCAGCTGAACCACACGGAGCTGCAGCGCGGCTCTCGGACGGTATGTATGGGTGTATGAACATATTGTATATATGTATATATACAACGTCCCATTTTTGACTGTATGAGTGTATGTGTGTATATTGATAGTTCGTGTGATATATATATATATATATATACAGTGTTACACATGTATATATGGCTGCATACATATAGATAGATAGATAGATAGATAGATAGATAGATAGATAGATAGATAGATAGATACATAGATAGATAGATAGATAGATAGATAGATAGATAGATAGATAGATAGATAGATAGATAGATAGATAGAGATATAGATATAGATATAGATATAGATATAGATATAGATATAGATAGAGATAGATATAGATAGATATAGATAGATATAGATAGATATAGATAGATATAGATAGATATAGATAGATATAGATAGATATAGATAGATAGATAGATAGATAGATAGATAGATAGATAGATAGAATAGATAGATATAATAGATACTATGGGCGTAGAAAGGCCACCCCCCTTTGACGATATAGGTATGTCTATGAGTTGTGTGAAATAAGCACATATATATATATATATATATTTATATATTCATCTATGGTTCAAAACTTTGATCTTGGGGGGATGAACGAACCTCGTGGATAAACAGGCGGCGCTCCCCCAAAAGCGGGGAATCCCCTCTTAAATGGGACACCCCCTATTAATAAGGGGTGTATTGATCCAGGTTTCTCATTATGATTCCCAACTGACTGTATGATTATTGGTCTATTGCTGGTTGGGCTGGACACGGGCTAACAAAAAAACCAGGGGGCCGCCCAATTATGAAAGTTGCATCCCCCCACTCTCTCTTTGGGACAACGGTTCGAGGGTAGTGGAAACACCTTGGATTGAACAAGTCGGGGGTTGTCATACTAAAGTTGTCCCGTCCAAGATTTGCCTCAGATACGCCTTCCAGCTGTGTGGATTACCCGCCCAGAATTCCTTGGTCTTCCAAGTTCTTTTTCTGGCCGAGTGGCAGATTTGGCCGAATTCTCACTACAACGGCCATGCAACTGGGCAATCAGCCGAAATCTGTTTTCAGCTCGCCACAAGCCGCATGGCAGTATCAAGATTTCCAACACCTTTGGCACACAGCCAACAGGAACTCCACACTTTCCAAAAGGCAGTCTAGAGAAGTTCTATCCGATTGCCCGAGGATGAAGGTGGAGGAGCTGGAAAGCAAGCACCGCTCCAGCCTTCTCCGTGCTGAGGAGAGCGCCAGAGCCATGTCTCGAGTGCAAGCGATATCTAGCAGATGCCTGCTGGCTTCCAAGAAGCAAATGGGTCAGAATCAGCACCTGGGTATAAGAACATTATGAGTAGGAAGCAGTCCCTGCCAGGGCTGCGTCCGCCCTCTTGGCTAGGTACATCGCTTTGGGTCCACTAATTCACAGCCAGGTTTTGAATATGACTCAAGTGAGCAGTGATTGGATGATACTTCTCCCGCAAACCAACGAGCAAATGCGCAACTCGGGCTGACTTCTGGGAGTCGCAGCATCAGGGCCTTTTGGGCGCCACCCGTCCCCCGGCTTGTGCACTTTACCCCCCAAATGGGCTTCGTGGTCGACACGTGTGTCACTCCTTCGGACTGCTCCTTCGGCTGCTCGCCTGGGATCGCAATCAAACGAGGAGGAGGCGGACCGGGCAAGCTCCATCGCTGAGAAGCGGCCGGGAGGAAAACGGGAGGGAAGGGTCAAATCGCCAAATGGGTATCGCACAAGTATGTTGGTCCCCTTGTAATTATCCTTCTGGCAGATATGATTATGTAGTCTTCATGATGCACGGTGGTGTTTCGAATATATGGCAACTACATGTCATAACTCAAAAGTGGTTGGTGAGCACGAATCCTAGCCTAAATGATGTCCATCAAAGGTCCCCATATCAAAATTTGCACCCATATGGGTGTGGCTCAAAATTGAAGAGCTTGGGTTGCGCAGGCTTTAGTCTTTGCTTCCATTTACCAAGGGGCCATTTTGGGTACATTTGTTGTACATTTTTTTGAGCCACTGCCATATTGGTCCCACGTTCCCTGGCTAATTACCCATATCCCTTTGGTGGAATCGACTTTGTACCCCTTATGAACCCAGTATTTGGGTGTGTCAAAACAAGGCACCAACAAGTGCCCTTCGATCAGACCGAACGCCAAGAAAATTCTATGACATTCTATGAAACTTTCCTAGGAGGGCCTTTCAGTTTCTATCAATCAGCTTTGGTGTGGCAAAACAGGTGTGTTGCAAAACAGGCAAACCTCTAGAACGGATTTGGGTTGCGTCAAGAAGCATAAGCCGTGGTTGATGTGCGTTTGCGGCTGCCTCTTGAGCCTACCTTGGTCTAAAGGGAGTGGGGTGTGCAATGCTGCCCCTGCCCCGAGGAACACGGCCAAGTGCACATGCTTGACACCCTCACTTGAATGTGCATTTTGGCACCGGGCTCAATACAGTCAAGAAACTGGGCTTCCAAAAGGGAGCTTCTATAAACCCTCGTTTTGCTTGGTGGAAGTAGCCGATTCCTAGTTGTCACATTGATCCTGCCGTATTCCCTAGCTGGGGTCGGTCCACGAGTCCGGGCGTTTCCTCAAAAATGTGTTGCTTCTTCTCCTTTTTCTTTCCTGACCTCACTGGTTTTTGAGCATTGCCGTGTTTTTGAAACCTCACCTTGCCTGTGTTTTCTCCAAACTCCCTTGTTTTTTTGCTATTTGTTCTTTCCCCTGACGTGAGGTGGTTGTTGCGAAGCCCTTGCTTCTTGCCCTCGCAGAGCTGAGCATCTGGGTCCGTAAGCTGAGGCACTCGGAGGCGAAGCTGGAGCTGGAGCGGCACAGGCAGCGGGCCGACGCCACTCGGATGCCACTTCTGCGTGTCGGAATCTCCGTTTGGGCCCAGAAGGCGGCGGCATTTTTGCGGGTCGCACCCAAAGAAAGATGGGAAAGATGGCTAGAGAATTGGTTAACTTGTGGTTGTCAGGTTAATTTATGATTATGAGATGTGGGTTACCTGCCAAACTGAAATCGCTCTCCTGTCTGTGGTTTCCTTTTTGGAGTAGTTGATTGCGGCACATTTCGGTCCTCCCGATGCGGATCGGTAACTCAGATGGATTCAGAAAGATAGGACCGGGTGGTGTTTGTTCGTGTCAAGCTGTTGGGGTGGCCATTTTCGGGAGTGTGCCAAAAGCAAGTGGGACTGACTTGTGTTGATTGAAGCGGGTCAAAACGAGCACACACACACACACACACAGAGTTTGTGAGAATCATGCTGCCAACCCAACTAAATCTCACTTCCAAAGCCCAAGGCAACCCACCCCGACACCAACCACCAAACCCGAAGCACCCCAACTCAATCCAACTCCGGGCAACCAGCATCCGGCCACCAACCCCGCTCCCCCACGCCCCGCCCCACGCCCCACCCACTGCATCGAGGCACTAGAGAAGGAGCGGGATCAGCACGCTGAGGCGGCCAAGCGCCATCAGGACGGCCCGGTTTGGACCGCGCCAGAGTTTGGGTTCTTTTCGGATGGCGCAGCTACGCGCACATCGCTGGGGTATCGGGTTTTTGATTGTCCCCTGTGGGTCTTGCAGATTGGGCGTATCGGCTTTGAATAGTCCCCTGGTCAGACAGTCGGGCGTTTCAGATACTTTCAAGCTTGACTTGGGTGTTTCTTCAAACACGATGGGGGGCCCTTTTGCTGGATATTTTACAGCGAAACCACAAGGACGGCCACAAGGAAAGCGGCCAAAAGGCCGTCCAACTCCTATTCAACCACTGCCCTTTTTGCTTTTGCAGGTGGTTTTCACTACCGAAAAAGGGTGCCCCCAATTTGCCAACTGCCGGTTCCTGCGCCGGAGACCAGTCCCGCCCTGCATCCATGTGCCGGGGATGTGCTGATTGAAGCCCTTTGATCTACCAAAATCCACTCGAGAGCTGAGGAGCATGCGCAGAAGGCTCACCAGGAGGCGGGGCGGTCAACGCATGCCGGTGATATTTCTGGGCAAAATCATTCTAACGAGCCCTGGGTAAAATGTGCTCACCCACGACAAAGGTTTTTGCTTGGGGATTCCCTGATTTCCGGCTTGAGAAGTATAGTGATTAGCCCACTGTGTTGGTTGGTCTTTGTGGTTGTCCCTTCAAACTCTCCTCTACAAAGGATGGTTTTTGGGGCTCCATGTGAGTCTGTGAGTGATTCTTCGGCTTATTGTTTTGTGTGAACTCGTTCGGGGGAGGGCCCAAATCTTGGCAAAGAGCGAGAGACGCCCATTGGCCAACATTGCTCCTTTGAGCATTTGTTTTGCCTTCAGGAAAGGGGACCCCAGGAATAAACAGCTTTGATTTGCAGGGTCCAAGGGGGGATTGCGGGGTTCACACAAACAATTGTCAAGGTTTAAGGGTGGTTTTGGGTAGGGCCGCGGTTTAGGGGGGTTCGGGTTGGGAACCGAGGGCTTTCGCATTGATTTGGACGGGTCGGAGCTTCGCTTTGCCATATGCAGAGAACGTGGGCCCAGGTCTCAGATCAGCTGACCAAGTTGGAAGCGCACCAGAAGGACAGGTTTCGTACAGCGAAGTCTCTTTTGAGGGTACCACTTTTATGCTGTTTTAAGTGGAAGCCACCAAATCTGTGGGTCCCCCCCCAATTTCAAGACACCACCGGCGATTTTGTTTGGGTGACGAGCCATGGTCACAGGAGCTGTGCGGCAATGATTCTCCCACGGGAATCCTCATCCACGGGTAGGTGTCCCTACGTCTTTATAGGATCCGATTTCACCTTACTCCCAGGATGCATGACCATCCCTACCAGCAAGCAGCTTGGTGTTGTTGTTGTTGGTTCTGTTTGAAACCCCAGCAAAATCACGGGAACGGGGGAGAGATGCGGCCGTGGGGGGTAGCGGACGGGGTAGTGTTTCAAGGGTGACATTGCGGCTCGGCCTCTTTTTCAGGCTCGTCAATATCTTGAAACCGAGGAACTCTACGTAATCATCACGTTCAAGTCATGTACATGGGCAAAGTGCCGTTTTTTCGTCTTTTTTTGATTTTGGAGTTAGTTGAAAGGGACGCCAAATTCCACATTTGAGGACTGACCTCATATTGCTCCCGTCAAAAACCCTTTTGTTTATTCTAGTGTACATGGGATAAGATCAGTTTTTTTTTGGAAAAGCTTGGGGGTTCATGTCCAAGACCGAGAAGTTGAGAGAAACCACAAGCTGGGTTGCCCCCTTTTTTTATCCTTATGACGTATGAGGGGTCCCTATATTTCCTATTCTGGTAGTTTTGACCCCCTATTGAAAGCGATTGTCCTTTCGGTGATGTCCAAAAGGGGAACATAGTGAACTCTGTTCTGCCTTTGAAGTGGTTCACTCCCTGAGTTCCTGGACTTTCTTCACACATTTTTGGGTCTGGACCATTTTTCTGGCGCAACAACTGCGCAAAAGCTTGGTTTTTTGCCAATCCACTTCCATTTTTATGGCGGAAAAAAACGTGTTTTGGGGCAATTTTGGGGAAGGACATACTGTACAAAAACAGCAAACACTCTTTTTTGTGGCTGATCCACTTTTGGGGAAGGAAAAACCAAAAACAGCCGGACTTGGGCCAATCCAGAGAGAAACACCCGTTTCCCCGTTTTTGCGTTTAATGCCGACAGTTCGACAGGAGATGTCCTCCCTGCGGGATCAGCTTCAGCCATGGCCTAAGCCGAGCGACAAAATCCGGGTTGAGGAGAGTGGTTGGCTTTTGCCAGTTCCTTAGCCCTTCAAAGTGATAAAGTCGTCATGATTGCTTGCCAGTCTCTGGAGGAACCCCCTTAAAAGTGATGAAGTAGTCTGGGAATTCCACGTTTGTCACAGGTTTCGGGTTATGTTGAATGGTGGAAATGGGTACTAGGTCCGTATGCTACATGCCATGCACTTTTCGAGCCTCTTTTTGGGGTGGAGGAGTGCTCTTTTTGCCGGTGGCAATCCAAGGAAGGCCCCCTCTTCATTTTCTAGGGGTTGATTTCCCATTCTTTCCGACCATCCTTCTTAAGACTTTCCGTGGGCGTTGGCCGCTTTTCTGGCAAGAATCGCATCCCTGGTTTAGCTCTAGATGAATTGGCGGCTTGGATGGGTTTGGAGGTTCGAGCCGTGGACCTTGCTCAGACTTGTTTGGCCAATCCAACCAAAGCCGACCTTTTAACCGACCTTTCATCCTTTTGGTTTTCCGGATTTGTTAACCGACCTTTTAGCCTTTTGGTTTTCCCGATTTGGTCCATATTTCGTCGGGGGGTACCTTCCACAGCAAGGTCTCAATAACAGCAACGAAAAGTAAGTCTAAGGACGCCGATTACCCCATACTTAGTCAAGGTTCCAACATTTTGGCCAATCCACCTCTCACCTGCCCAAAGCCGACCTTTTGACATGTGAACCGTTCATTCCTGGCTCCTTTTGTAAGGGTTGCTTCCCCATTCTTTCCAGGGATCCTTCTTTCTAGCAAACCACCCAAAACCCTGGGAAAACGCCTGGTTTTTGAAAAAAAAACCAAAAACACACACACAATGGTTGCAAAGACTGGAAAAGGAATCAACCCCTAGACCTTTGAAAGGAGACCACCGGCCAGTCGTTTGGCTGCTGGGTACGTTTCCACGTTATCACGCTCAACCCTGGCAGCTCAGACTGTGAGATCTGCTCAGCTTGGCTCAAGTCGCTCGCCCAGGAAGGCCCACGAGGAGAAGCGCAAGGAGGAGGACCGGATCCGGCAGATGGAGGAGGAGCTGACCAGGCGGGGTGACCCTCGATGCGACTTTTGCTGGGAAACCGAGACCGGGGCTTTGGGATTGACCTATAGTAATGCCTTTGGAATCACGTTGCCCGAAAGGTGGTATTGGGTTCCTGACTGGAAATACCAAAAGAAAACCCCTCCCCCACTGCCCCAACCCTCCCTTCCCACCCACCCAAACCACCCCCACCCTCCCCTTCCCCCTTTCCCCTCCTCCGCAAACCCTCCCCAACCCCCTCCCTCTTCCCTCCTCTCCGTGGAGAAGCCCCTCGAGTGCGGGACGCCATCCATATTTTGTGCAAATCAGGTGTCGCTGGGTGTCCAAGCTGATTGAACTTGGGCTCTGCAGGTCGACATGTCCAGTTGTCCAAGGATCGTTTGGTGGTTGGAACTCTTGACAAGAAGCAATGCCCATAGACACTCTAAGGTAGGCTCAAACCCGCCCGATAGTCCCCGAAAGGGGCCTAAAAGCTCCGGGTTTTTGCCGTCCGCCGCGCGGAGGAATAGTCAAGCTATCCAGTCTATGGTCAGTTTGGGGTTTGGGACATAGGAGACTCACGAAACCATAGAAGAAAAAGCATTGGAGGCAGTCGCGAATTCCCCCCCCCAAGCCCCGGTAAAACCCGTGAAGATTCAAAGGCCGCATTCCGCTTGTCTTCCAACAGTCCTTAAAAGGGTCCCTCTCAAAGTTCTTCCTGGAGGTTATCTTATTTGCAAATTCATTCGTTTGGACCACTGGAATTGCCTTTGAGTCCAGTTGAGCCAGAGTCAAAGCATGCTGTCACCGGCAAAGGACATATGTTCTGTCCTGTTTTTGTGGCTGACATTTAGAGAGTCCCCGTGCCCCGAATCCTACGCGAACCGTAAATGGGCCACGAGCTTTGTTTGAAAGGAAGACTTCTGCGGTGCTTCTGTGGGTGGCCGGAATCGAAGCTTAAAGGTGCCACCCTGCAAGAACCTGCCAGGGTTGTATTCGATCAACTTATTTGGTTAGCCTGGATATGAGGGTGTGTCTTTTTTGGAGTTGGTACCCCTTGTTTGGCTTCAAAAAGGGAAACCACCAGGAAACCAACCTTTCTGGGGGTCCCCTCCCAAAAACATCCACAGCCATATAGTTGATTGCCTGGGCTGGCTTCTTCTGTCCCGTGTCCTTCCTTCGCAGGCTACGTGGAGGTGCCGCGAGTCCAGCCCCGGTGCCTCCGGCGCCGGTGCCGGTTACGGAGGCTCCCACGGAGGCCCCGGCCACGGAAGCGCCGGCGCCGGAGGCACCAGCGCCGGAGGCGTCGGCTCCGGCGCCCGCTGAGAGGCGGGCGGGGTGATCATAGGTGTCCTTTTTGGATGTTTTGGTTAAGAATAGATGGCTCTGGTTTACCTGGTGGTTTAGTCATCTACCAGGGCCATCTATTTGCCCTAACAGGACACCTATGGGGGTGATGTTTTTGTGCGGTTCAAAGGGAAACTGCAGGGAACGCCACCCACCTTTTTTGGTCTTTGACACACAATGACACACCCCATTTGTTGAGGTACCTCAAATGCCAGGACGGCACTTGTTGCGGTTTCACAAGTTTTGACTTGCTTTTGGCTCCACGGAAGTGGTGTGGTTGTTCTTGGTCCTCGGTTTCTCCACAGGCAACATGCTGGTTGCAAGATATTTCTCTCCTCTACCTCACGATACACTGATACACCGTCTCCTATCTTCTAGACAATAGGAGTAGCCGATCTTCTGGAGAGGACGGAAGCCCAAGCTGAACCTGTTCCCGATGCTCCGGAGACACCAGCGGCGGTGCCTTGCTGAGGACTTTCCAGCCAGCAGGAAGTGGCATGCAAGAGAATACATAGCCAGGAAAAGGGTTTTGTGTTGCTTCCTTGAAAAGGTTTCAGAGTTGTACCCTCAAGCTGTTCCCCTCCGAAAATGAGGCTCTGTTGGAGCTACGGAAGGGCGAACCGTGTGGTGCATACAGGTCACTTCATTTCCTTTTTGTTGCACCAAAACTCTCAGTTTCCATTAAATCGGTAAACTTTTGGTTTGGAAGATCCAGTCACACCTGACATATATATATATATATATTGGGTGTGTCTGTGTTTGTGGGTACCCTTTTCGAGGTGGTGTCAAAGGAGAACCGAAAGGGGCTACCACCCAAAGCGTATGACATCATTTTCGAGGACGTGCTTGGGTCAGGTTGAAAATAGATGGGCTCCACTGGTTTCAGTTTGACTCAAACCATCTTCCAGGTCCATCGGTTTGCAACAAGGGAGCCATCCCCTTTTGGTTTCAAGGGAATCCAAGAGGAACCCAGGCATCTTGGTTGGGTCCCCTAATTTGGGACACACCCATTCCCATCTGGCTGTTTCAAAAGGACGTCTGTAGTTCTCCGGGGGCTCTGGTTTGCGAATCACATGTTTTTCCGGGATCGTTCGATTTCTGAAGACTGGGTGTGTTTTTGTGAGGGCCCCCCTGGCCTTATACAGGAGGTGGCAAAGAGGAAAAAAGGGGGAATCCTGCGTTTTGACGTCTCCCTTATTTTGACCCAAATGTCAGGCTTTCCAAGTCGGCAAATCACGGGCTGTGTTCAAATGAGGTGTTTGTTTTGCTGTTTCCATATCGCGATTGAAGGGGCACTGTACCCCACCTGAGCATCAAAGTAATTGCTTCCACTCCTTCTAGAGACACAATGACATGGTGGATGCTCAAATAGCATATTGCATTTAGGGGAACCAGGGGGGGGAGGGGGGGTCACTCTTTGATTCATCTCAGGCACAGGTGGCTTAGAGGGTTAGCAGCTTGAGATTCTGTCATTTTTTTTTTTTAATGTTGGAACATGTGGAAACATGTACTGTGCAGGCAATGCTTGGCCAATATGGCTTGGATGCCATTTTGGCTCAAGCTTTGCCTTTGGTTGTTGATCTTTCTGTAGTTTAAAACAAAGAACGCACCCATTGCAATGGCCTCCTCGGTGTCTACCGGTCTACCGTATCTTCGTTTGAGTTGGTGGAAGAGCAGCAGATCACGGAGGCGGATGTGGCGATGGCCGCCCAGGAAGCGCAGGAGATGCGCGACCGGGAGGCAGCGGTGGCCGCAGGCCTGGTGCTGACGGAACCTTCCACCCCCCCGGAGGGCACGGCAGCGGATTTTGGCTCAAGCTTTGCCTTTTGGTTGTTGATCTTTCTGTAGTTTAAAACCCACCCACCCACACCAAGATAGGGCTCATGGCGGCTGGGCCAGCCAAACCTCCGGAGGGGATTCCAGCGGACTTGAGGGACAATGTGGCGAAGTTGCAGAAGCCTCTAGCGGCCATCCTGGTGGGTAAGGAAATCCCTTGGGTGGTGCAGGCCGCGTTGGGGGAGTCCGGATATGTCACGGTGGAGGACTTGGGTGACCGCTGGAACACCCCTGCGGACGCCAGGGAGAACGGTCCTCGTGATTTGGATTTCGAGGATGGATGGACACAACGGGTTCAACGCCCGCACATCGGCCTTTACGGCCATGCGGCTCCTACAGGCGGTCCGGGTGGCGACGCAGTTGGTCAGGGGTGGCAACCAAGGGGCCCCCCCAGGAAGTCAGGCGGGACCCGTCAAGGCACTGATGGAGGTCCTCTGTGATCGTCGCCAACTGGAAGATGCCTATGTGGCCACCATGCCCCGAAACCGAGATTGGAATTTTCAAGGAAGTGACAGCTACCTCAAGAAGCAATGGCGACTTACCGCCAAAGGTGAACTGGGCTATATCCCGGCCAAGCACATAGTGAGCGCTCTTCGGAAGAAGGGGAACGCCCTGCGAACACACACGCAAGAAGGTCACTGTTGATGGGTGGGAACGAGAAGACGAAGAAGAGGTGAGGTCCCACCCTACCTCGAGGAGGCAGCTGGAGAGGCTGCACATGACCTTCCGCACCACGCTGCTGATGTGCACGGCGGCGCTGCCCCAGTTCGGCAATCTGAAGATCACCAAAGAAGAGCTGGACGAGTGGTATGCATGGTTCTATGGAGAGGACATCGCGGGCAGGAAGCCGGCCCCGAGTGATACCACCTTGCTCTTCGCGGAGCGCAACGCATGGCGCAAGATCCATGAGATGGCACCAAGGGACCGATCTCTCGGAGGCCCTCAAGAGCATCAAGGGTGACTTCCTCTTCTGGCAACGGGAGGTCTATGAGCACCTCAACCGGGCCTCAGAAGGGCAAGAACAAAGGCAAGACTCCCAAAGTGTGGCAGCCCCAGTGGGAGAAGCCCTGAAAGGGGGAAAAGGGGCAGGCCCTTGAGAAGGCTTTGGGTCGCATCCAGTAAGCGACTTCGGCCTGTCCTCTGGCAAAATCCATGCTCCAACCGCTCTGGGCATGGCTACCATTACGGTGGGGAGGCCACCCAAGGTGGTGAGGATGCTGGCCTTCATGCTGCTCCCCATATCTGCCCAAGTCGTCCTGGTGGGGGTGCAGTGATGCGAGCGCCTCAGACCACTGGCATTTGTGGGGGGATGGTGCTCCAACCAGAGGGAACCGGACAAGTCAGCGGTCTTCTGGTTCCACGAGCAGATCCACCAGGAGGAGCACCCCTGGGCAGTCAAGGATGGGGATCCCAAGCGGCGAATTGCGGCACTGGAAATGCTAGGCACGCTCTTCCTCTGCAACATGATCCTCACGCATCAGGGCCCCCTGGCCTCCAGGGTGAGACTCCCGGTAGGCAGTGACAACCAGGGCAACGTGATGGCCATGCTCAATCTCGGTTCCAAGAAGCCCTACACCGCGGCCATCCTGATGGTGACTTTGCACGTGTGAAGGTGCAAGGTGGTTGCAACTCAGCAAATTCAGACACCACCTTAAAGTTTGATATGTTTGTACTTGACATTCGGAATGGTGGCATGTTGAAGGCCGTGATTGTGGCCTCCACGTTCTCAAGGTGCGAGCACTATCTCAGCAACTTGGTAACTTGTTGGTCTCTTGTTGGGCTGAGACTGGGGTCCCAACTTCCCCCGCAAAAATTTCAAGGCGCCCTCCACTCAGTTTCCCATGTGACCTATCTGAGGCTGAAGGAAGCAAGCCGATCGAGAGCTGACTCCCACGAGCCTCGAGCCTCCAGCGATTTTGAGCGGCCATGATGCGCATCGTGGCCGTCCGATTCTTCAATTGCCGGCATGCAACTCCGCGCCGAGAATGAGGGGTCCGTGTTGATTGCCCACCGATGTTGCCTCCCCCCACTTTGGTGGGCAGGAATTGAAGCTGGGGTTTAGGTTGAGCTTGTAGTCAAACTATGGACTGGCCAAACACGTCTTTAAGACTGTGCGCAGGATGTTACCCTGCTGAGTGCTGCAAGGCCTCTCGCACAAGTTGTCTCACATCGGGGTCTTTTGAAAGCCGGTACAGCAGACAAGCGCGACAAGCGCACTGCGTAACTCCAAGGGCAGGCGGCAACAGAATATGGCCACGGTTCAAAATCCCGTACCCCCAGTGAACATCCCCCACTACAAATGGGTGGTGCACCTACCCCAAAATGGTACCATTGGTCTTGACCCACAGCCATATACCTTCCGCAGGGAATATTTATCACAAGGGAGATAGCTCTTAGTAGGGATGAAAGTTCATGAGGTGTATTCAGTCCCTTGATTGTTTGACTCTCTCAACTGGCGCCTTGTTGTCTCCCATGCCAAGGGGGGCAGTGAATGCTTGTGCGCCATTATGCAGACCCTGCAAGCAGCAGCAAAAGCAGCGGAAGCTTTGCTTTGCCGTGAGCTTATGGTATGGCCGTTCGGGCCTCCAGAACCAGCAATCCCTGCAGAGTTGTTTGCGAATGTCCTTGTCGGCAGTAGCTAAAACAGAAAGCACAGGGAAACCCACCATTCTGGCAGGCCCCATATTTCAAGACACGGTCTTTTGCCCGGGGAAGGTGGAGGTGCGCATTTCGCGTGCTTTTCCTTTTTGGACTTTAGCAGGCCACGTGGGTTCGTCCCCTGACTGAAGGATCTTCTTGTGAAGGATCTTCTTGTGAAGCGGACAGCCCCCCTCGCGACCTTCGGCTCAAGTGCGGACGGCTTGCCATTTTAAGCTTTTGACCGCGACCCGCCCTCGGTACATCATCTTGGCCTCTGCCTGGAGAGTTTGACTCTGACCACCTCAAGGTAGACGTTAACCGTTAAACCTACAAGTCTTGTCAAAACCAATGGTACCATTTTGGGGTAGGTGCACCACCCATTTTAGAACCTATTTTAGTGGGGAGTGGGATGTTCACTGTTTTGGACTTTGACCCATGGCCAAGTAGGTGGTTGTTTTCCAAATTCCAAAGCTTACCTGGGTTTGAGTCTACCTTGGGATCCAAAAATATTTTTGGACCCCCGCCTTGGGAAACGCAGCTGCCAGGCTGCCTTCTTGGCTTCAGCCCTCCAACCCGAAGGGCGGGCGTCGGTTCTTGAGGAAACCGCAAGGAACGCCACCATTTGCGGGGTCCCACTATTTCAGCACATCTATAATATAAACACACATATATATATATATATGCACATGTATGTATGTGTGTGTAATCTATATTATATACATACATACATACATACATACGTACGTACGTACGTACGTACATACATACATACATACATACATACATACATACATACATACATACATACATACATACATACATACATACATACATACATACACATACATACATACATACATACATACATACATACATACATACATACATACATACATACATACATACATACATACATACATACATACATACATACATACATACATACATACATACATACATACATACATACATACATACATACATACATACATACATACATACATACATACACATACATACATACATACATACATACATACATACATACATACATACATACATACATACATACATACATACATACATACATACATACATACATACATACATACATACATACATACATACATACATACATACATATACATATATTATATATATATACATATACATCTATACATATTTCCGCATTGAACTTGACAGAAGGTTCGCCAAGAAGAGGAACATACATGAAAGCGGCTGGTGGGTGTGGTGCTTGGCTGCAGAGTAGCACCGAAAACCTCCATTGGCAATTTTAGCAGGTGGTTCTAATATCTGTTTTCATTCGGTGTGCAGTCAGGCTTATATACGCCTTTCTAACCATACTGGTAGAACCAACAGTGTGTTGGGCGCTGCACAAATGGCAACGGGGGTCGTTGGTTCTCGTGTTGAACTGTTCCCCCAAAGGGACCAACTCGTTTTGAGGCTCTGACCACTCACAATGGATGACTGAACACATCTACGTTAGATCCAGGAATCCTACTGAGCACACATGAGCATATTCTACCTGTATGCCCACAATACCCTCGTTTTGGGGGAAGCATTTGGAGAATTCTGGTTTTTATGGCAAGCACCTTCTTTTTGAGTCAGGGGTTGACATCATACACTGAAACAAGTGGGTATTTGGAGGGGGGAGCATGGACTCCGGCTCATCAGTGGACCCATTTGAGGCTACACGTTTTGGGGTTGGCGATGTCTAGGAAGCCAAAGGAACACCAGCCATTTGATGTCGGGGTCCAAGGCCCTATTTTGACAGATCGATTTGGTTTTGTCTTAAGAATTGGGGACTCACAAAATGATCGGTGTCCTTTTCCTTGCTGATTGAATCCACCCAAAAGGAGTTCCTCCGAAAAAAATGGCACGCCCATGCATATGTGATATTTAGGACCACTCCCTTTGCTTCGCCGTCCTCCTTAGGTCATGGCCGCAGCGCTATGGAGCGACCTGAAAGGCACGGAAAGTGATGCGGCCACTTGAGCAGCGCCGGTTTCCCTTCGGGCCACACCTCGGGCAAGGCAGCAACTGGACCCAGCGTTTCTGGGCGTCTTTCCTGGCTTGCGCGGCATTTGTGGATAGATCTCCGCGTGGCCTTTTTGCGGCTATTGAAAAAAGGGAATGGACCTCTCCGGTGACCCTCGGCAGTCTTGTTTCGAGGGTCCTCTTTCGGCGTGGTGTTTAAGGCAGACAAAATGGGTGGTCCGTAGCTTGGAGACAACCCCCTTTGGGCATGTTTGACCAAGGAAGCTGAGGCATTGCGGTTCCTGTTCCTGTTCGAATGAGTTACAACTCTCCTTGTACCGACAATTGAAATTCTTGCCCACTCCTGTAAGGATTGCGCCATGGTTAATGCACTCCAAACGTGTCGCAGCTCAAGTAAATGTGGGCAACCAACACGTGAGACGACAGGAGCTCGTAAGACTGGAAAACCGACCGAACAATCAACCGACCAACCAAGTCACACCCATCCAATCAAGTCACACTCACCAAGTTTGCCGGATTGCTGCAACCATGGGGTGTGTCCCACGCTTGAACTTGGCAGGTTTCCTTTTTGCTTCCTTGCAAAAGCAAGACATCCAAGGTCCCTTCTTTAGTTGAAGCTCTTTCTTTCAGGGCCTCTGGTATTCACCGTTAAGGGCTTATTTTGCCGTATTCGGCCGTAAGGCTTATTTCAGCTTGCGCCATGTTTGCGGGAAATTGGGTATTCGGTTGCCACACCTGAGTGGGCCAAAGCAGTCCCCTTGAAAGTGATCTCACAGAAAGGGACCCTTTGCATCCATCTTCCACGAAGGGCCCAAACTGTTTGGAGGCCTGGCCTGTTGAGCTGCGACGTCGCGACTGTGCATGTGAGGCCAAGTGGCCAAAATGAGTGGCACCCACTTGCGGACGCTTCTTCAAGACCAGGCACGGGCAGCGAAAGGCTTCGGCCGTTTCACGCTTTTTTTTTTCCGAGTTGCGACCAGAACTCCAAATCCGACTTGCATTTGCTATCATTTGCTAAATTCAGGCGATCTGCTTTTTCTCCTGGTTTCAGAGGGTAGAGACCATGACTGTTATTTTTGCACCGAACAGGGAAGTGGAAGCTGACCATTTTCGGGGGCCAGGGACTGCCTTATTTGCCCCGGCTCAGATGGCATCTACTGAGGGAGCCAAGTCTGTTTCTTTTCCCCACACGTCGCGCCCCGCTTTGAGGCGCGCAATGATTCCATGTTCGTGCAAAGCGGGCAGATCGCTGGGGGCTAAGTTGCCGAACAGGGTTGCTCAACCAAAACAGGGGAAGAAGAAACCTGCCAACTCTTGTGCTTTGAGAAGCATTTGCGCAGGGTTGGTTGGCTCATGGAGGCTTGGAGTGCTTTGCCTTGGGAGCTTCGCGGAACCTTCAACGTATCGATCCCAAAGGGGCCGAGGAAAGAAACTACAACGCAGAACCCGAGTTGGCTTCAATTTAACAGTTTCCTTTTTCCCCGGATGTCGGCCTTGCACCCTGAAGCTCGGCTTGAAGTGACGAGCTCAGACAACGGCGCAAATCGGATTCTATACACAACGACCTTGTCATAGGTTCCATGGTCAACACGTCTCCATAATGTGGACAACAAGTATGAAGATTCCTATTGAGGGAATCACGATTATTTCCCACAGATTCGGAGTTTTGACCATGGCATGAGTCTTTTATGGCTTCCAACGCGGATGGACCGAGGTCTTGGACTACTGCCGGCAGAAGGTTGACACTGAGACCATGCCGGCGCCCTGGAGCTGTGAGCACAGTCAAAGCCCAAGTAGATGAATCAAAAAGCAGGCAGATTCAGGATAGGAAGGGCAAGTCCCAGCGAGGAGTAGGTCAGGCCCTTTGATTCTTTGGGGTTGGGCAGCCCCTTTTAGGAGCAGGTTTTGATTGTGACTCAGCTCGGCGTTTCCCAGCCATAGCCTCCATCTGAAAAAGACTTTTAGCGTCTTGAGTTTGGAGGGATTCATGTGACACACCCCCACTAAAGGTCGATCACTTTTAGCCCGACAAACCACTAACGTCCGATTTGGGTCGCCACTTGCGGCAGGTCGAAGCTTTTCGAGCTGGCCGATAAGGCCGGATCGCCTGTTCGAAGGATGGACTGACACCAAGCTTGGCTTTGGTTTCCCCCAAAACTGTTTTGAATTTTAGGGTAGTCTGAATATGAAGCGAATCTGAACATCTTATTTTCTTTGTATACCCTTTTTTGTGGGCCAAGCTTGCCGGGGTTGCCTGGGAGCTTCGTTGGAATCGCTGGCAGGGTGCCTGAGTCGACACGCGTTAAGGTTCTGGCCAGCCAACTCAGCGGGGTGTTCTTTGCCACGGCCCTCTCAAATTGCCCAGAACCAAAGAGGGATGACTGGTGAACATGTTTGGGTGACAAACAACGCTTTTGGTTTGGTGACTCGTTCTCTGCTTGCCTGCTTGCTTGCTGCTTCCCCGCCGGCCTACCTGCCGGCCTACCTGCTTGCCTGCCTGCTTCTGCCTCGGATTTGCTGTTTTGTCGCTTGCTTGTTTGATTGTTTGTGGTTTCTTCGGTTTTGCAGGCTTGCTTGCCGGTGTCTTGATTTGGTGCGTGGACGCATGTTGTTAGGCTGGCGTGGAGCAGAAAAAGACGAAGATGCCGCGTTCCGAGTCGGGGGCAGGGCTGTCTTCCGGGGAAAAATGATAAAGGGATATCTTTCAAGAGTACCCATTGTGGTGGGATAATTTTTCAAGGGAACTTAAAAGGAAAGCAACCAATGTTGGGGGACACGCCCAACTGGACACCTTTATAGTTCCCGAACTAAAGATAGAATAGACATCCTCTTGGTATGCCAAAAACTGGTCGCAAGAAAGGTCTTAAAAGGACCAGCCTAGAAGACTTTCGCGAAAGAGCTTCCCAAATTTTGATGGGGGAACCTTTTGGAAGGTGTCCAGGTGGTCCCGAGAAAGGATTCGGCAAAAGGGATCAGAGCCGGCAGCCCACTTGACGTGGTGGGCTCCGAACGCTCAAGTCTCAATGTTTCTTTTTTGTCGTTTGACCCAGTCGAGCAGCGCCCAAACACCCCCCATTGGGAGTTCTACCTGGTTTCATAAAGGTTATAGTAAGCCTCGTATAATAGTATGGTCCTTTTAATAACCGCGTGAGAACCAACGGCCAGCGCCCGGCTTTGGGGCACTCAGGTTCGCTGGGGAGAAGATCAACGAGACCGAGGGCCGCGCAGTGGTGGCCTGAGTGACATGCGAGAGATGTTTCGCACCTCACGGAGATACGTTCTGAGTATCCCAGCCTACTGTGGATGGACGAAATCCTGCACCACCTAGGACACCCTGGAATGATGATTCCCCTGTAAATACCAACGAACAATGGTGTCTCATGGTGTCTTAGGTGGTGCAGGATTTCGTCCATCCACAGCAGGGAGAGTGATCATCCTAACATTGCAAGACTTACAGTAGGTGACCTTTCTAATTTTTTGCCTTGTTGGTGTTCCTTCATGTTCTCTTACCAGCCAACCTTTGTGCAGGGAGTGGAAGTCTGGCCCAGCCCAAGCAGGTTCCCACCCTTCGATCAGAACTGCTAGGCGGTTCCTTCAAGGTGGCCTTTGGTTTTCTGAGGGGCAACTTCACATGGATCCAATTTGGTTCCAAGACGTCAAAACTGACAATGGGCCCTTTGAATTCTGCCCGTGTAGGGGCTGGGTAGCCTCTTCCTTTGGGTCTGTCAACCACAACAATTGGGGGGGGGGGGGGTGTGGTCCAATGCTTCCAATTGGGTGCATCATCTTTTTTACGAGTACCCTTATGAAAGGTTTCTCGGGGGCTTCTCTCTTCAGCTTGCAGATGGTCGCGCAAATTGTCCAGTTTTTGGGTTCCAAAGGGGCATTTGGAAAAACCACAAATGGACCCTTGTAGGGAATGGATGGTAAGCTTTTCTCCAACTCAGCGTCCCCTATGGCAACGGTTTCCTTCAGATTTCCAGCCTGCATGTCAAATTGCATGTTTGTCTCATATTCTGAACCCTCCAAACTTGGTGGCTCCCTGCCGACCCTGCAGCTTTTTAGGCTTTTCGGGTTGAGTGGTAGTTTTTATTGAACCCACTAGAAGTGAGTCAATGAAACTTTTAGCGTGGGATCTGAGGACAGCCCAGCAAACATCAGCTTTACCACGGGTCCGACTCCATCTTGAGAAACTCCCATCCTGCATGCCGAACTGCATGTTTGCCTCATATTCTGGAACCCTCCAAGGAGGTCCCAGGTGGTGTCCTTGCCGGTTCTCGAAGCCAACCTCCCCCCCCCCCCGCCCCCCGCTTCAGGTGCTGCACCCCGCCCTTCGGGCGCCCCGGGACGCGGCCATTTCCGTGGATGGCCAAAACGTGGTCCCCGAGGCATGCGCCGCGTGGAATTTTTGCGGCTGAACTCAGGGAACAACACATGGTTCACCTGAGGGTGTCGATGTCCTTTTTTTAGTGTTCTTTTTTTGCAGCTTGTTTTCTCTCTTTCTTTCTTTTTTGGGGGGGAGGATGGATGGACACCTGGTTGGCTGCTTTAAAGGGGAAGCCAAAAGGAAAACGCTTTGGAGGGGTCCTCTCAATTGACACAAGAGTCGAAATTGCCTGATTCGCCCATCCTCCGTCTGGAGGGACATCGGGGACCTCGCTCTTTGTTCCACAAAGTCCTTTTTGGGAACAAGTTATTTTCACCGTGGCTCACATGTTTGGACTCCTGAAACAGCTCGTTTTGCGTGCTTCGCGTGTTTGGCATGTTTTGCGTATGTTGGTGTGTTGTGTCTGCTTGTCTGCTTGTTTGCTTGTTTGTTTGTTTGCTTGTTTGTTTGTTTGTTTGTTTGTTTGTTTGTTTGTTTTCTTGCTTGTTTGTTTGTTTGTTCGTTTGATTGTCTTGTGGGGAGTTACCTTTTGTTGGCACCAGACGGACCCCCTTACCGCGCCAGAAGGATGCTCCTTCTAACGAGCCCTGGTTTTCCACATCAAGCTTGGCCAAAGCAGCCAGGTGTGGAAAGTCTTGGACGCCATGAAAGGCTTCTCTGACAAGGTCTGGCCCACAGAAAGCAGGTGTCAAAGACTGAATATGTACGCCCAGAAAATGGAACCAGGTGCAGCCTGTTCGCTGGCTGTTGTCCCATAGAAACGCCGTAGTTGAACCGTCAACACTAGGAGTTCATTGGCGGTTCATAGGATACACTTCGCTCATGCATCCTCTTGTTTTTTGAACCAGAACCGATTTGGAGCCCTAGTGCCGACTAGGGGCGCACATTAACGACTACCCGAGGGCCACCGAGGATCAAGGGACATCATTCCTGTGTTCCGCTTGCTATGGCTCTTGGATGGTTGGCAAAGTCTATTGGGTCGGTGGGGAATGGTCCAGCTCCTCATGCTTGTTTTGGGCAGCCGACTACACCACCCTTTGTGTTTCAATGAATGCTGCAAGGCACTCGTTTGTCCAGACTTTCTTACGGTAAGGGCGCCCCAAAACCCCTTCCCCAAATCCCATTTCGGCTGAAAGAAGGTACCTGCATTACCCTTTGAGTGGGGAATGACTCCATCGCACTCCCAGCCTTTGACAAACATCGGAGGCGCGCGCCTTGCTCATCTTCCCACGTCTGTTGAACTGCATGCTTCGGCTGAGTCAACGCCAAAGGTCACTGCTTAGATGGGCTGGGAGGAATCGCTAAGTCGTGAATAACACTAGTTATAACCCATTTACCATGGTTGTACGTCCCCGAGAAAGCCTGGATTTTGCTGGTGCTCAGTAGGGAATGAGGGTATGAACCTGGGGGTCCCCTTAGAGCATACCACCAGATGGATGGTTTATGTTCGGGGTCATTCCATTTCTCATTCCCTACCTATGGCACCAGCAAGTTCTTAACCCAAAGGTCATGCTTAGATGGGCTGCGACGAATCGCTACCATGGTTGTAAGTCCCCGAGACAGCCAGGAAAAATAACTAACCCAAATACCATGGTTGTAAGTCCCCGAAAAATAACTAATAATCATAATAATAAAAACAACAGGATCATTAACTATGTAGCGTCCCAGAACATCTAAAAGCCTCGCCAAAAGCCTCGAGGTCCGCTCCGGGGAGTGGAAAGGCCACACCGGCAAGGCCCTCACGGACGTGGTGTGCATCGGGCCCCTCGGCCGAAAACTTCTCTAGCGATGGAATGGGGCTGCAAACTGAGGCGGGGGCTCCCTAGATTTCCCGCTTAAACGTCACTCCACTCAGAGGAAACTCGCTTTGAATCGGAGAGGCGATGCTTGATTTGTGACAAAAGGGGAACTGCAGGAAGCCCAGGAAGGGCTTCCTTTTCGGTTTCCCTTTCTTAATCAACGAAAGGCGCCCTGAAAGACAGGGGTCCAGGAGTCGATTTCTGCTTTAGGGGTTTGTGGGCTGTCCTTTTTCAGGGTTTGTTTTGCTTCCTTGGAAACGATGAACAGGTCGCGTAGCCATTTTTGAAACCCCCAGCGGGCCGCCGGTGAGGGGTGGGAGCTGAGGATTGGTGGCTCCTACTTGGGCGTCGAGTTCGTCTACGAAGCCCTGAAGACCTGCCCCGAGGTGCGCGGCACGAGCGTCGTGCGAGCGGCGTGCACTTGAAGCACGGGTGAGGAACACATTTTTGAGCACAGACTTGCCAGGAGTTTGCGATTCGCGCAGACCTTGGACGCGTCGTGTTTTGCCTATTGAAATCACTTTTGTTGAGCAAGCCAGGAAGACTTTAACCAGGAATTGGTCCGTTCTGGTCAGGAATTTACCACGGCTCGCCTTAACCCGGGCAACTTGGATGTGGCGGTCCGCGGTGGTCCCACCCTTTGGAGGATGCTAGTCGCTTAAGGAGGCAAACAGTTCTCCCCTCCCCTAGAAACACCTTATTGTGAGCAAGCCTGGCTTCATTGTTTGGAGGGTAGAAGGGACACTTCAGCTTCAGGAAGGAAGCTCGGTGACCCTTTCTGGAAGAAAGTGAGGGGCAGGTTCATTGGACCCCAGTATTTTGAAACACTTTTGAGTGGGAAATCCCTGACGCCTCTTCCCGGATTTGTTCAACCCCTCGTGCCGGGGTCAGGGGAGCAACCCTGAAAAAGATACCCTCAACTTGGTCGGCTGGCTGGCTGGGTGGGTGGTTGGTTGGTTGGTTGGCTGGTTGGCTGGCTGGCTGGTTGGTTGGTTGGTTGGTCGGCTGGCTGGCTGGCTGGCTGGTTGGTCGGCTGGCTGGCTGGCTGGCTGGCTGGCTGGTTGGCTGGCTGGTTGGTTGGTTGGTTGGTTGGTTGGCTGGTTGGTTGGTTGGCTGGTTGGCTGGTTGGTTGGTTGGCTGGTTGGTTGGTTGGTTGGTTGGTTGGTTGATGTCGCTGCAAGTCCCAGGCAAAGCCTGGGCTAGGTGACAAACGCAGCCGTCCAACACTTGCTGGCTCTCGGCATATGAGCGCATGACCCCTAGCATCCAACTGGTCATATCCCAAACGGTTCATTCCACCAAACTCTTTTGACTCACTGAGAACCAACAAGTTGGGGGGGTCCAAGGGAAGAGGTTTTAACTAGGCTTCCCCAAGGCCAAATGAACCCAAAGCTTCCATTCGAACCCTAGGAAGCCCAGCAGCCTTCTGTTTCCTTAGGGCTCCCGTTTGTCCCGTACCCATTGGACACATCAAGACAAAGCACACGCCTCATGTTGCGTGATGTGCAGGCCGCCGCCGCCGCCAACGGGCGAAAGCTCAGGTTCCTGGCTAACGTGGACCCCATCGATGTCAAGAGGGCCGCTCGGGCTCGGTGCAAAGTGACATTGGGTAAGTCAGCATTCAAATTGGAAGCCTGCCAAAGAGGGCCAAATGGCCTCAAAGTCTTCTAGGATACGGACTTGTTTTGGCCAATCCACTCAAGTGAGAGAGAGCCAAAATGGAGAGCCCCCCCAAAAAGGGTTCCGTTTGGTCTCCCATTGAACCCAAGACAAAACACAGCGAGTCTCGGAGCCACTCCAGTGGCCTCGCCCAAGGAAAGTATCGCTATGGGGCGGAAAGGGGAGGCAGGCCACAAGGAGTGGACTCCGATACCTTGTGACCCCGTTTTGGTCTGATGGGGATGGGGAACATAGAGAGCCCCGTCACACCTCTGTGATATATTCTTTGTATTATATTTCAACAGAGGCACCATTGAACTCGTTCCAAATGACAGGTGTTTCAAGCCATGGGCGGACAAGATTTACTGGCGTCTGCGGTGGTATAGGGGATCACATGATGCACACACACACAGACCACGGAGCCGTCACAGTACCATTTGGGTTCTGGGGGCACTCTCACCCAGAAATCAGCAGTGTCACTTGTGGAATACTGAAGGAAATCAAGACGAAGCCTCTTATGCATCGTGGAATGAATTTTAGTGCCGCTTGCTCTAGTACCACAGGATGTATTTTAACGGGACAATGTAGTCATACGGATGGTCCTCTTTGGTACCCTTCCTCCAATCACGGAACACCAACAAAAGAAGGAGTAGTCTTCCAAATGCCCTCATGTAGTCAGGGTATCCCAAAAAGCTTGTTTTTTCCACCCATGTTGGCACTCGGACGCTGGTGGGCAGCTAAGGCGCTGGAGGGCCTGAACGCGGAAACCACCCTGGCCCTGGCCCCAACACTCGGTTTCTCCACGTCAGGCCCAGGTTGTCTCACCCTTGGCCCCAGCCCCGAAAAAAAAGAAAGAAGCTCGGGTGCGGGAATTGCAGAAACCACTTCCGTGAACTGAATGGAAGGCCTTCCAACTGAGGACTTTTCCATTTAAAGGGCGGGGTTCAACCTTGCGCAATTCTCACAGCTCGGTGGTAATTAGTAGCAGGTTTTCTTGATTGACATCCCCTTTCTGGCTGGTGGCTTGCCCAAAGCTCCCAAATCAATGTGATGAGTTGAGCATCACAGATGACCTGAAGAAACCACCCCCCCAAATACCCCCAGCAAAACACGGGGCAAAACTGGAGGCGCGTTGGGGGGCCTGGTAATTTCTGGTCTTCTGACTGGTGCTTTGGGGTATTTGATGCCGATCCGATGGCTGAAACGAGGAACCCTTTGCGAAGGTAGTAATCATCTCCAAGACCTTCACCACAGCAGAGACCATGCTCAATGCCAAGACTGTCAAGGCGCGCCGGCGCGCCGCGATGTACGCACCCCACACACACACACACACACACACAGATTCCCGGAGCCATTGCAGTAGGCTCGGTTCCTGCCTGGTTTGGTAGGGAACATAGTAAAGCCTGTATAAAACTTTACAGACATGTTACTGTAGTAGAACCAAAAGTCAATGGCATGGGTTTTAGGCTCTGCTAGCTGAGACGTGAAAAAACAGGAAGCTTTCCTACTACTGATTTGTCCCCAATGTAAGTGGTTAGCGTTTTCGCAGCAAAGTCTGAACGAGGACAAAAGGGTTGGGCAGAGCATTTAGAGCTTTAATGATCGCCTTTGTGCTGCCGCTGGCTCAAGAAGACTTAGAATCGAAGAAGGTTGGATTTCAATGCATGAATACATGAATGAATGAATGAATGAATGAATGAATGAATGAATGAATGAATGAATGAATGAATGAATGAATGAATGAATGAATGAATGAATGAATGAATGAATGAATGAATGAATGAATGAATGAATGAATGAATGAATGAATGAATGAATGAATGAATGAATGAATGAATGAATGAATGAATGAATGAATGAATGAATGAATGAATGAATGAATGAATGAATGAATGAATGAATGAATGAATGAATGAATGAATGAATGAATGAATGAATGAATGAATGAATGAATGAATGAATGAATGAATGAATGAATGAATGAATGAATGGAATGAATGAACGAATGAACGAACGAACGAACAAACGAACGAATGAATTAATGAATGAATGAATGAATGAACGAATGCATGCATGCATGCAATGCAATGAAATGATATGATATGAAATGAAATGGAATGGAATGGAATGAAATGAAATGAAATGAAAGAAAAGAACGAACGAACGAACGAACGAACGAACGAACGAACGAACGAATGAATGAATGAATGAATGAATGAATGAATTAATGGAATTGAATGAAATGGAATGGAATGGAATGGAATGGAAGGGAAGGGAAGGGAAGGGAAGAATGAACGACCGAACGAATGAATGAATGAATGAATGAATGAATGAATGAATGAATGAATGAACGAACGAACGAACGAACGAATGAATGAATGAATGAATGAATGAATGAACGAATGCATGCATGCATGCATGCAATGCAATGAAATGATATGATATGAAATGAAATGGAATGGAATGGAATGAAATGAAATGAAAGAACAGAACGAACGAACGAACGAACGAACGAACGAACGAATGAATGAATGAATGAATGAATGAATGAATGAATTAATGGAATTGAATGAAATGGAATGGAATGGAATGGAAGGGAAGGGAAGGGAAGGGAAGAATGAACGACCGAACGAATGAATGAATGAATCAATGAATGAACGAACGAATGAATGCACGGACGGACGGACGGACGGACATTTATTCGTTCGTTCGTTCGTTTATTCATTATTTTATTGATGTGTAGCTTACGTTTTCCCAAGGTCACTATATTGCTTCAAAGGCCAACCAAAGGGACAGCACCGCTTCTGTGGCTTTCCCTATCCGGAGACCAAGCCCTTTGGGTCTTCCCTTAACACCACCCAGTTGTCTGCAGGGTGTTTCTGGTGGGTGTTTCAGTGCAGCTCACAACCAGAAGGGCGGTTCTTACCCGATGAGGTTCGGTCAACATTTCAGGGGTCTCCTCCAAAACTGTTTACATTTTAGAGCAGACTAAAAATGAAACACACTCTCTGAACACATCATTTTTGTGTATGGGCCAATATTTCCTGTGCATTTTTTGTTTAATAATTGGGGGGTGGGCCATTGCCTCGTTTGGCCGTCGAGGCAAGATTTGTAAGGCTGTTGAAGAGACCCCAACGCCGGCCGACCTGTCAAAGAGGCACAAGGGTTTGTGCGCAAGCTGAGGAAGCAGGCTCAAACTTGCAACGCCTTGTCGAATGTGCTTTCATTATTTCGTAGATGTTTGGCTCTTTCTGTCTTTCTTTCCTTCCTTCCTTGCTTCCTTCCTTCCTTCCTTCCTTCCTTCCTTCCTTCCTTCGTTTTTCATTCTTTCCTCGCTTCCTTCGTTTTTCATTCTTTCCTCGCTTCCTTTGATTTTCATTCTTTCTTTCCTTCCTTCTTTCGTTCTTTCTTTCTAACGAACGCTCGTGCGTTCGTTTGTTTGTGTGTCCCTCCGATGAAAAACAGCATTGCACATTTTAGCTGGTTCTACTACCTGGTCTAGCAAGGATTATGGTAATCCCTATAAAGCCAACAGTCGATGGGCTTCGGGCGCTGCTTAACTTGTGTTGCAAACGCAATCGCGGTGTTGCAAAGGGACCGAATGCACTCGAGCCATCGAGCCAGGCTTGGTTGGTCAAGGAGCTCGGCAGCGAAGACTGCCCGACTCCCTGACTCCCCGGTTCCCAATTCGATGCTTGGGAGAGGAGAAACAGCAAGCTTGGGAAGGTTTCCTACTCACTTGCCCAAGTTTGCTCTTATGCTTTTGTTGTCATTCTTTGTGGCCCCAAAAGGCTAACCTTGTATTTTCAGACGCTGTGGGCAAGAATGCATGTTGGATCTAGTCTGTCAACAGATACTCGGTCTTGTGCGGCAACACGGGCTTTTTCAACACGTGCAGAGCACTTTTTGACAAAGGGTCAGGAGAGGGGTCGTCGTCCCGCATCTGTCGGGATCCAGTTTGCCAACCCTTCACACCATCACATGTCTTGATGTGTAGCTTACCTGTTCACTTTCCAATGATTTGATGATCATGTATAAAGGTACCCCACAACCCCATTCCAAGTAGTTTGGCCTTTCTGTTGTGGGTGTGACTATTTGTGGGTCCCCTATGGGTTTCAATGGAACCCAACACGAAAACCGGCCTCTTGTTTTTCCTCTTTTTTTTTGTGGGGGGGGCTCCTCTAACGCCATGCTCTTCCCTCAGCTCCGGTGGCTCCCCGAGCTGCTTGAGGTGTCGCGAAGCACGTGGTCGCTTGCTCCACGGCGCTGGACAAGACCAAGGCCTGTGCCGTCTCTCTGACTTGGGCCGGAAGGGACGTTTTGTCAGGTCCCTCATTTCTGGCCAGGCGATTCGCCCTACCCTTCATCTTGGGCTTTGATTGTCAGACAGTCCAAGCACAAACTCAGCTTCCCTCCAATTGGTCCTGAGGGAGGGTACCTGGAAGATCAGTTTCCTCTTGGAGGGACCGATTTGGGCAGACCACGTTAATGTTTGTACCAGGTTTTGATTCTGACTCGTTTTACTCAGGGCTGATTCTTCATTCTCTTGAAAAACCACTCATCTTCCCGTGGGTTTGGCAACTTGTTTTGGAATGGAAGGATCCCTGAAGAGAAGGGGGAAGGGACATCTAGAATTTTAGTGGCAAAGTGAACAGTTTGGACTTGTTTTGGCCAATCCACTCCGGAAATGAGCTTGAGATCAGGATTGCTCCAAGCCTTGGTCTGACCAAACTATAAGGGCAGAACATTGATATTGCGTCCTTATGTGTCCACAAGCCGCCAGGCACTAATGTTCTACCCTTCCGAACGGGTCGAATGGGACGATGGCAATGGTGATGAATGTACATATATATACATATGTATATATATATATATGTAGATGTATACACATACTATATATATATATATCAATCTACATGTAAGGGAGGTCCACCAAATGCTTCCCACTTAAACCCCCAGACGCCAGTGGGATGCCTGTTTTATTATTTTTGTTGCGAGGGATGGGAGGCTAAAACATAAACCAACACAAAGGGTGTCAATTCTTGTTTCCCATGGAGATCCACCAGAGGATTTGGCAACCATGCTTCGTAGTTCCAAGCGGCGACCGTTGTTTCGTGGATCCTCCGTTTGCGGGATCCGAGTTACAGGAAAAAAAACGGCACCGAGCGATCTGGATCTTTTGTCGCCATCAGAACCCGGGGACCCCTAAGTTTTTCCATGCCTACAGTAACCCAAATTGCCAAGCAGCAGCATGCCTTTTTTAGGGTGTGTTTCATCAGTTTCCTCGTTTTTTTTTCCCATGCCCACTTGGGTGTTTCAACCAACTTAGCAGATAGGTTATAAGCATTGTTATAAGAGACTAACCCCAAGTTACCCTACTTATAACCATGGTTATGACCTACTTACTAGCTTCGCCGAACACCCCAAGCATTCCATAGTTACCCCACTTATAACCATGCAATCTTTCCCCCCAAAAAAACCACATTGGTTATAAGTGGGGCAACTCCAATTTCCTTCCGGCCGCAGGCTTTTGGCATCGACTCCAACAACGTCTTTGGATTCTGGGACTGGGCCCGGGGCTGAAGCGCCGAAGGGCCGAAGGGCCGAAAGCTTCACCCCGAGGCGACCAGTGGGTTGATGCCTTGTCCACTTTTTTGTGTGGGAGGAGTGGCCTTATCCCTTGTCAACTTTGTTTTGGTGGCAGGGGGTGGACTTCTTGTCTAATCAGCAGCCAAAAAAGAGGTGCCTTGTTTTTCCCATGGCCACGGGGGGTTTGGGCACCCTTAGGCTCTGAGGCTCTTGACCCCTCCCATGTAGACCGCCCCCCGCACCCCCAAAGGTCCCCGGACCAATTCCTCAACCCATATTTTGAGAGCACAAAAGCAAAGAAGGGAGCCCGGTGGCTTGCTTCTGCTTTCCTGCGATGTTACTTGCTCGTTTTGTTGGCGAGGGGTTGCCTTCATCCCACGGTTGCCAATTTATATACCCAAGACAGGGTACCCGTTTTTCCTGCCTCATGGCATCTAAGGGTGTGGGTCAGACAACTGGATTTATGATTTGCTGTTGGACAACTCATGGTTTGCCATGGTTTCGTCGACAGGGACACCAAAGGGGTGTGTCTATTTTAGGACCCTCCTATATATATATATATGTGGTGGCTTTCCTTTTGGTTTCTCTTGCAAACCACCCAAAAAGGGTGCCCTCAAAAAGGACACCCCCAAATGGGGTTGCTCGAGCAGCGGTTGTTTGACTTGTTTCAAGAAGGGTTTGGTCCAGCTCAACCAGAAGGCTTCAGTTTACTAAGCCGACTGCTTGGCGAGCGGCAGAGGTCCAGGGGCCTTCTGGATATGATTTGCTGGTTCTCAACAGAGAAATAGGGAGACCCCCCCCCACATTTATTTTTGTTGAAAGAGATATCGGTTTCCTCCCAAAACAGCACAGCATAACACAGCTATTTGGCCACGAGTTTCAATATGGCGCCCCCTCCAAAGTGGTTGTACATGAATTCCCCCTCCACCAAAGGTCCGGGATCTGACGAGTTCGCCGCTCGGAGGTGGGCGGTCGTTTCTCCGTGTGGAGCGCGGTGGGGGTGCTGGCCTTGTCTTTGCAGCGCTGGCCTCGGATCCGAAGGCCTATGCGAATCAGAGGATCTGCTGTGGGGCGAAATCCGTTCGCACCACTTTGAGACCATGGGAAACCATTGCTTGTTGGTATGTACAGGGGAATCATGATTCCAGGGTGTCTTAGGTGGTGCAGGATTTCGTCCATCCACAGTGGGAGTACATGGCTGCACTTTGGTGTGACCCCTAGCCCCTCAGACCTTTTCGAGAAAAAAAGCAGGTGTTCTGTGTATCCTACAAAAGGTTAGACCTACTCCGCACTTGTTAAAAGCTGTTTCAAGGCTTCAAAGTCCCCCACAAGCCAGTCCTATTTTTTTAGCCGCTTATATTAGCGACAGTTCACAGTCAATGGGTTTGTGGCACTGCTCGGTGACAGCCCCACATACTAGCCCCTATTGGGGTATTTTCAGCCGGGCCAAACAAGGCCAATTGCGAATTGGAGGGAGGGGACATTCCCAACAGTCATAAGCTGAGGACAATGTTTGAGGGGTCCTCTATTTTTGGCGAATTTCTCCTAGCACTGGCAAGCAACGAGAAGTTGGAAACGGAACAAGTAAGCAAATGCCCTTTGGATTCCCTTTCTTGGAGGTTCTACCCGAGCCAAAAGTGGGATTGAAGTGCTGTACCCAAAACCTTGCAAGGAACCATGGTGGTTCGAGTGTTTCCCTGGACAAATCCAAATAAACTTAAGCGTGCGTTTTTGTGGTCCAGCCCCTCCAAACGATCGGGAAATTAGGGGTCTGCAAAAAGTGATGTTCATGAATAGGGTATACTTGTTGGGGGGAAGTGATTGCTGCTGGAACATGCTGCGCTACCCTTGAATTCGCCGTGCGTTCAAGGGCTGCTCTGAAGTCCCTGAGACAAGAATAAAAACTGTCCTGAAGGCAGACATGAAACCGTTCGCCGCTCTATCCAAACGTGACTAGATCTCTTTTGCTTGGCTAGGGAGAAGTTGAGCCACTTGTCCTGGCCAGTCAACTCAGCATTTCAGAACTTGAACTTTTCAGGTTTGTTCAAGGGGAGCCAAAAGGAGAATCACCCTTCTTTGGGTCCATATTCTGACACCATGGCTGGAGTGTGACCCAATCGCCTCTTGAACCTTTCTGGCACAAGTGCCTTCTCCATGAAACCCACAAAGGTTATACCTTTGCTTTGTGGCTTGGAGCAACCCAGACACATATCATTTGATCAGTTGAGCCGAGGTACGGCTTTGGGACCGTCAACCAGTTCCTGGAAGGTGGGTTTGCTTCCTCAGCGGGTGAGGGAGGGGAAATCGGAAGGCAACGGGCAGAAGGTTTGTGTGTGTGTGTGCACATGTGTGTGTGTGTGTGTGTGTGTGTGTGTGTGTGTGTGTGCGTGTGTTTGTGTTTGTATATGCTCTGTGTGTGTGTGTGTGCGCGCGTGTGTTTGTGTTTGTATGTGTGTGTGTGTGCGCGTGTGTTTGTGTTTGTATGTGTGTGTGTGTGTGTGTGTGGTGTGTGTGTGTGTGTGTGTGTGTGTGCGCGTGCGTGCGTGTGTTTGTGTTTGTGTGTGTGTGTGTGCGCGCGTGTGTTTGTGTTTGTATGTGTGTGTGTGTGTGCGCGCGTGTTTGTGTTTGTGTGTGTGTTTGTACTGAAATAGGGCACCTCCAACCATTGGGTTTCCTTAGTTTCCCTTTAAAACACTCCAAAAAAGGAACCCTCAAAAATGACAACATAAAAACAGACACCAAACAAACCCAACACCCACAAACCCAAAACACACAAACACACAAGCACCTACACATACACGCACACAACCACGCAATCACGCACACACAACCATACGAACACGCAAGCACACAAACTCACAACGGCACAAGCATTGAAACACACAAACGCACAAACGCCACAAGCACACAAACACACACACACACAAGCACGAGCACACCAGTCAAACAACCAACAGCAAACAGGCAAACCAATCCACAAACAAGCAAGGAAACAGATATGCCAACAAAAGAGAACCACAGAAACAAAGAAGCAAAGAAACAACCACACAATCACGCAAACACAAACACACAACCAAACGAACAAACAAACAAGCAAGCAAGCAAGAGCAGATAAACAAGAAAGCAAGCAAACAACCAAACAAACCAGCAGATCAACAAACAAATTGCACAACCAACCAGCCAACCAGCCAACCAGCAAGCCAGCCAACCAGCAAGCCAGCCAGCCAACGCAAGCAAGCGAACACACAAGCAAACAAACAGATGATCGCACAAACAAACGCACAAGCACACACGCACACGCACGCACAGCAAACAACCAAACAAGGATCAAAGCAAACAAGCCAGCAAGCACGCAAACCAGCACACAACCACATAAACAAACAAACAAACAAACAAACAAACAAACAAGCAAGCAAGCAAGCAAGCAAGCAAGCAAGCAAGCAAACACGCAACACAGGCAAACACCGGAAAGAACGAACGAGCGAGCGAGCGAGCGAGCGAACAACTCACAGACACACAAACAAACAAACAAACAAACAATAAATCAAACAAACAAGCAAACAAACAAACAAACTAATACACACAAAACACGACACGAAACGATTCAAAACGAAAACAAAAACGAAACGATGCGAACATAAACGAAATGTTTGAGAAGAAGGGAAAGGAAATAAAACAGTCACAGCAAAACAAAACAAAACAAGCCACCACACAAGCAAGCAAGCAAGCACGCACACAAACAAGCAAGCAAGCACGCAGGCAGGCAGGCAGGCAAGCAAGCAACCCAAACAAATAGAAGGACAAAAAGCAGAGAAACACTCAAACACACAAAGAATCAACCAAGCAACTGTCAGCGGAGCTGGAGGAAAGGGCAGTTAGCAAGTTAGTAAGTTGGTGCTATACCCACCGTAGCACAACTGCTACTATGATCTCACCGTTGCTGCTACGTACTACCAGTACTAGTGCTAGCGCTACTACTACTACTGCTGCTGCTGCTGCTACTGCTACTCCTACCGCTACTACTACTACTACTACTACTACTACTACTACTACTACTACTACTACTACTACTACTACTACTACTACTACTACTACTACTACTACTATTCGCCTCGGCCCCAAAGGGGCCAAGGGCGCTCAGATCTCTTCTCCAAAAAGAATCTTCGCTTTTCCCCTCCCCCAACCCTTGCCCGACCAACATTGCCGGCCCCCCCCCCCACCCCAAAATCCTGTCCGGCGGGCCTTGAAATTTTCGGGGCATGAGTCCATTTTTGTCGAAAATCACTAAAAATGCGTTTTTGTCCTGAAAAGCATGACCTCCTGCTGGCCAGGCCTGTCTGACGTGTCTGAGACTGGGCTCAGGTCCAGCCCAACCAGCAACCCGCCTGCCCACGGCCACCGCCACGATGCTGCGCAGGAGAGGCGCCATGAGGTTTGGCGGGTTTGCCAGGACCTGAGGCGGGCAGAGCGGGACCTCGAGCAATGCGAGGAGATCTGGGAGACCAAGCTTCGGCTGAGCAACTTGGAGCACGACCGCGCCATGGCAATGCTGCGCAACAGCTTCGATGAGAAGTACACCGCGGACATGAGCCAGCTTGTTGCGCGGCACACCCATGAGCTGGTCACCGCCCAGGCCCGTGGCACCCAGGCTCTTCAACAGAAAGAAACTGAGCTCAGGCGGTTCATCCATCCTTCCGTCCACATCTCTCTATCCCTCAGGCCGCCAACATTGCAGGCCTGATTTAGAATTGACCCCTTGCCCCCCTTCCCCTCCAACATCTTTCCCGCCCCCCCGACCCTCCCTGAGATCTTCTCCCCCTTTTCCTCCCTAAGATCTTTTCCCACCCTTTCTCTTGAGACCCTTTCCACCCTTTCCCCCTAAGGCCTCTTCTCCTTCTCCGTTTTCCTCCCGAAGACCTTTTTCCCCCTTTCCTTGTTGAACTCCTTTCTGCCCCTTCCCCCTAAGGCCTTTCCGAGATCTTCTCCCTTTTCCTCTCTAAGATCTTGTCCCCCCTTTCCCTGTTGAGGCCCTTTCCGCCCTTTCCGCCCTAAAGCCTTTTCCTTCCCTGAGATCTTCTCCCTTTTCCTCCCTAAGATTTTTTCCCAACTTTCCCTGTTGGGACCCTTCCCCCATTTTTCCCCCCCTGAGACCATCTTTTCCCCCCTTTCCCTGTTGAGACCCTTTCCCCCCAAAAGGCCCTTGAGGTCTTCTCCCTGATCTTGTCCTCCCTTTCCCTGTTCAGATCCCTTTCCCCCCTTTCCCCCTGAGGTCTTTTCCTTCCTGAAATCTTCGGGGGAAGGATCTCAACAGGAAGGGAGAAGATCTCAGGTGGGGAAAAGGCTTTAGGAGGGAAAGGGGGGAAAGGATCTCAACAGGGGAAGGTGGGAAAAGATCTTAGGAAGGAAAAGGGAGAAGATCTCAGGGGGGAAAAGTCCTCAGGGGGAAAGGCGGGAAAGGCCTTACAGAGAAAGGGGGCAAAGGATCTCAACAGGGAAAGGGGGGGAAAAATCTTAGGGAGGAAAAGGGAGAAGATCTCATGGTGGGGAAAGGCCTCAGAAGGAAAGGGGGTTCTCAACAGAAAAAAAGAGGGAACAGATCTTATGGAGGAAAAGGGAGAAGGTTTCAGGGGGGAAAAGGCCTTAGGGGAGAAAGTAGGGAAATCAACAGGGAAAGGGTGGAAAAGATCTTAGGAAAGGGAGAAGATCTCAGGGCGGGAAAAACCTCAGAGGAAAGGGGGGGAAAGGATCAAGGAAAGGGGGGAAAAGATCTTAGGGAGGAAAAGGGGAAGGTCCCAGAGGACGGGAGGGGTGGGAACGCCTTAGGGGGGGGGATGGGGGAAAGCATCTCAACAGGGAAAAGGCCTTAGAAGGAAAGGGGGGAAAGGATCTCAACAGGGAAAGGTGGGAAAAGATCTTAGGGAAAAAAAGGGAGAAGACGGAAGAAAAGTCCTTACGCGGGAAACGGGGGAAAGGATCTCAACAAGGGAAGAGGGGAAAAGATCTTCTTAGGGAGGAAAAGTGAGAAGATCTCAGGGGGGGAAAAGGCTTTAGGGGAAAGGGGGGAAAGGGTCTCAACAGGTAAAGGGTCGAGATTTGCCAGAAGAGGCGATGCTGGTGGCTCAAGATTTGCCAGCCAGGGCTTTGAGTTCTCAAGGCCGGAGAGCATGCGCCAGGCAGCGCTAATAAATTTTCCGGGCTGCCCCTGGCTTTTGTGGATACTAGAGTCATCAGCTGGAAGGAAAAGGTACCGCTCCGAGTTCAGCTGTGAGTCATCTTAAGGATGTAAAAGCGGACCCGGGGGAAATCGAACACCCCAATGTTTTTACGCAACTCTGTCCCGCGCAGGCACCGTCGCAAACCCTTTTTTAGATATAATTATGGTCAAACTACTACATTTGAATCTGGCAGAAGCGCTGGCAGCTGAAGCGAGCGCGGAGACGAAGGTAGCACACGTTGAACTTCACAATGGCCTGTCATCCTGTCTCAGGCGACCCAAATGAACGCGTTAGATAGGATTCTGGGGCGCGCGTCTGCGTTGGGCTGTCCATGCGGAAAGCCGGGCGAGCGCTGGCGCGTGTCTGCGTGCTTATTTGTTGTAAGCGTGTTTTTGCAGACCCCGCTGCGCGTAAGACACAAGGCGTGCAAGAACCAACCCTGCATCTCACTGCGTCGCGCTTGCTCGGGGATGTGTTCTCCAAGCGCTACGGTCTGTCAGTGACCTTCCGCACCGCGGCTGTTTAGCTGGGAAGCTGTTCGCCACCTCGCGCTGGCCAATGCAAGTTTCCCTTTGATGGGGTGAGGCCAGTGAGAGTTTCTAGGTTGGAAATCTACGCATGTTCAACAAAGCGACGAAGCAACGTAGTCTTACTTGTCGTTGGTCGTTTGGAAGATAGTTTTCCCGAAAAGTTGCCATCAAAATTCCGGAAGGACAAATTGGTTGGCAAGCTGTGTTGCTGTCAAGAAAGCTAGACTTGACGGGCAAATCTGCCCATCACGTGTTCTGGAGTGTCCAGCTTGGCCACGGTGAGCAAAACAGTTTGATGACCAACCGAACGTTAAGCCGTGTTTTGGGACCATGAGTTTTACCAATGTCTGCGCCAAAAACCCCGTTGACAATTTGTTCCAGCTGCATTTGTTACAGCATGATGGCTTTGCACGCTTTACCATCTTTGTAAAACCACAAGTCAACGGGTTTCTGGCGCTTCTCAATTTCCTCGGGAGCTAGCTTGCGCCCCCTCGAAGCCAACCAGAGTTGGAGTCAAGGTGCAGGGGTCTTATGTTACCAGTTTTGAAAACGGCAGCCGAAAGGAAAACGGCAACTGTCCGTGGATTCCTGCTCCTGCCCCAGAATCAGTTAATGACTTCAAAAGGGAAAACGCTGAAAGCTGGGCTGTGTGCTTTTCGAGAGGATAGGGGTCGACAAAAAAAAACAAGAAACGGAATTGAACCACCCCTAGTTCTAGGGGATCCCAAACGCTTCATTGCTCGGTCTGCATGGAATTATGTGTGTAGCATTTGGTCAAACCCTATTCAACGGGTCACCCCAATTCCTACACCACAAGAAATTCGGCAAACAAACCCAGCAAGCGGGAGTATTTGCCAAAATGTTGGACACATTCCTCCACGAAACAGGGAGCCCCCCAAGAATATGTTTCCCTCAAATTAGATGGTCGCTTGATCACGACAATATCACGTTTTTGTTCAGATTTGTTCAAAGGAGGCAAAGGAAACAACACTCATGTTGGGAATTGGTTGTTTCAAGACAAACCCGAACACCGGTTTCTGTGCGTTTGGTTTTGAGAGTGTTTTGAGTCGAGTCCCCCCTTCCCCCTTCCTCCGCGAGCCCTTCCCCCCGAGGCACGCCATGGACGAGCACTTCCAGAAGGCTTCGGCCAAGGAGAACCTGCCGTTGATCCTGGGCTTGCTGGATGTCGGGAACCTCAACAGGCTCCTTAAAAGATACATTTTGCCCATTTGAAACATGGCTTTTTCCACCAAAATAAAGGGAAACCACAATTTACAAGGCAATGTTCAGGTGTATAATGTAAGGATCCCTGCTCAACCCAGGGCCAAGATTTCGAGCGCCGGAAGGTCAATGGCTTTGGGCTCACAACCCCAGTCACAACCCACCCAATTCCAGGCAAGCTATAGTAGGTAAGCAGGGGAAATCATGTGAAGCCTAAAGGTAAGGAAGCCTGGCTACCTACTATAATGGTAACTGGAAGTGGATTGGTAGCTGGAATCACTGGGATAGATAATTGAAGGTCAGCAACCCTTTCGATTTGTTACATGGTTTTGGGCCTGGTCCTGAATCCCCGAGCGTTTCGGAAGAGTGGGTGGCAGAATGTGTTTATTTCCCCTTGCGGAAATGTCCCCCTTGCAGAAATGTGGCTGCATACTTTTGGATACTTGGGGGCTTCTCCAAAACTATTTCGTCTTTTAGACTAGGCTCATATATGACATCTGGAGCGTGTTTTGTGTGCCGGTGCGCTTGGACCCTTGGTTGGCGGGTCCGTATGAGTGCGTGTGAAAACAGGGTACCCGCCCAAAAGGAGAACGCACACACACACACACACAGAGGCTCCCGAGGGAGGAAGACAATCAAACTCCATATCGAGCGTCGGCAAGTCAAGCTGGCTTCCCTCTACTTGCTTGAGGCAAACAGAGACAACAGCGGTTCAGGAAGGGGGCCAAAAGGACTTCAGCATCACTCATAGCAGGCACGTCCTGAATTGATCCAGCCGTGCTTTGCCGCCGCTTGGACAATTGGTTGGTTTCTGGGTGGATCAGGGACGCACGCGGACTCACACAGACACACACACATATTGATATGATCCACTTTGACATGTTCAAAGGGTTTTGGAAACTCAGCAGACAGGCAGAACTGCCTCAATCCAAAGAAGGCAGGCATACCTACCATGGTGGAGGAAACAGACACCAACCAGGCCCTGTGACCTGTCCAGTCCGGCTAGTCTCCAAACTGGTTTTCACCACCTTCAAGTTACTACCACTATATGCCCTGAATTTGTGGCCAGTGGCCATGCGCCTCATTTCTTCGTCTTTTTGTTGGCTGCGAAGCCCTTTCTTTCTGCTCCCGTGGGTCCTGGGTTCACTCCCGCGGCTTTGCCCAGGTCTGGAACGGCAGCTTGCTGGGCTACGAGGGGGTCGCCATCCTGCCCTACTGCCAGGCCGATGAAACCACCGCAAAATGGGTTGGCGGAGAAAAGGGGGGGGAAAGGAGCGAAGACAGGTTTTGAAGTTATCGAATGATTGTAGAAACCGCAGATCCGATCAATCTTCAGGGACCCCGCAAAACCACCTCCTACAAGGCGCCAAAAGGCCAAAACCTCCCCCTAAGAAAAACTTCCCCCAAAAACAGAACCATGTTTTGAGAGGGGTCGAAACGTGGGGAAGACTATAGGGAACACCCAGTGTTTTGCTCGTGTGAAAAGGGATTAAAAATTGTCTTGTGGTCAGCTTGAAGGAGATGTCCAAGCACGAGCCAATGTTTGTTTCCCTTGCCACCCAAGACCTTTGGCTGCGTTTGTTGATTCATTTTTCCCCTTGTTCGGGCTAAATTGTTCAGGGACGGCAACCATGATTGATCCATGATCTCTTTTCACCTCAAGGAAACTCATTTCAGGGGAGAATCTCATCCAAAGAACCCCCCCCCGGGCCGAATACTTGGGAACATGGGGGGGGGGGCGCGCGCGCTGCGCCCGGTTTGTCGCGGCTTCAAGGCGCTGCTCCGTTTTGTGCCCCACATCCAGCAGCTGGACATGGAGAGCCGGGCACTGTGGAAATCGCCCTTCCGGTGAAGAGGTTTGAGGTTTCGACTCCCTGAGAAAGACTATTAGTTTGGGTGCCGCACAAGGTTTCTGGGTTTTGTTTGGCAACCATCCAGTGAGCAAGTGAGAGCTTGCTGCATTTTTGGTTGCCCCAAATCAGCGTGATGGCTGACCAAAGCAGGGCCCCCTCAATTCAGGTTGGGGCGGACCCAGGTTGGAGGTTGCTGACAGATGTGCTTGAGAGGTGGATTTGTTTGAGGGTGCCTGTTTTGTGGTTGTTCCAAAGAACCACCAACAGGAAACTGAGGCCCAGTGTGGGGTGCGGTCAAAAGGTTGGGTTGGAATTTATTGTCATCAACCTCCCAGAAGCTTTACTGGCAGACGTGAGTTCGTCTCCACATGGGATATGTAACCCCCAAAAGCCGTGCTTTTCAATCAGCCGATTCCTTCTGGTTTCGGATTGTTTTCTAGAAGCACATCCAATCCCTGGGTTCAGACAATGGAGAGTTTACCCCTACCTGATCTCAGGGCAAGACGACTCCCATCAAATTGGAAACGAGTCAAGGGAAAGGTCTCTTAGTGCCTGTTCAGGGTTGCTACGGCCTCTTGGGGCTTGATGTGGCTTGTTTGGAAGGTTGACGTATTACCCGTTTTGTAGGGGTTTCTAGGGGATCCTTAGGGTACCGGGGCATGATTGTGCAAAAATAGTTGCTTTAGGGCAGGCCAAACTAGTAGTTTTGGGCTTTCCTGATCTCGCCAGTTGGAAAGAACCAGCACGAGTGTTTCATTTGTTTGCAAGTGAGGCCAAGCTAGGACCAGTTGCTTTAGTTTTGCAAGCTAGGATCAAGGTGGTTGATCCAGCGACTGACCTTGCCTGAGGCAATGGAAAGTCTGTTCAGATGGCCTGAGGCTTAGTGCAGAAAGGGCGATTGAGCAGCCAAAACCCCAAACCCCCCGCCCCCAACCGTCTAATTAAGTAGAACCCAAAGTCGATGGGTCTAGGACGCCGCTCAAATGAGCCACAATCCAAGCCGAGTCGGGGAGATGGAGGTTAGAATTGGGAAGTATCGGCAACTTCACGAACAATTCCCACAAAGGCCAGGGGTTTTTGCCCACACGGGACTCGCTCAATGTCCAACAAAAAGATCGGACCTTACAAATCAATTTCCCTATGTCCTTGACAGGAACCAAATTCATGTGTCGAAGCTTCCTTACTTTTCTGCCTGTTTAGGCGACCGGATCTGGAGTCCATTAGCACCAGGTTTTGATTGCGGCTCACGTGGTTGACAGCTGCAACCAAATCTGAATGGTGGTGCTGGAAAAGGATGCCAAGGTATGCATGCAATCAGCTTTGGGAGGGGAATGCCCTTGTTGTTGATACCTTGAATATTGCCAGTAGGAAGTCAACGGTATGGCTCGTTAAAACAAAAACAACATCTACACCGGCACATGGACTTCCAAAGGAGGGTGGCTAACGATCATCCATCCCGATCAGGCGCCGGACCAGTGACTCTCATGGCTTTTGGCATTGGTTTGCCATGAGGATGGAACCGCCGTGGCTGTCCCAACGGGTGCCATCAACTTTGGGGAGCCTGGCACCAACGGCAGAGACCTTAGCCAGCAGCTTTTTGTTGTGTGAGGGAGGGGGTAATATCCAGTTGCCCAGTGGCGCCCTGGAAGGGTTCCCCTTTAAACTCAACCAACCAAAAAAAGGATGCCCTTTTTTTCAGATGGCCGCTGGGCATCTGAGGATATTGCGAGCGGCGGGTGTTTCCTCATCTCCTGATCGCACTTTTTGCAATGGTCCGATGAGGACACTTTGTAGCACGCCAACTGCATCCCTTTTCTGTTGCTTGAGGCTTGCCCGTTTCGTGGCTGTTCCGTTCCAGGGAAGCCAAGCTAAAAGCTTTCCCCGATTGAAGTCTTTTGCTTGTCATTGTTTTCTTCCAACAGACCTCTGACCATGTGGGTTGAAGCTTCAATAGGGGCATTTCTCCGCAGGCTCCCTTTGAAACCCTGAGAAGGGTACCGTTTGCGCGAAAAAATCAGTGGGAATTATAGGATTTACCTGCATGGGAGCTCAGCGAAGGGGATGAGGAGCATAACGAGCATTTCCGGGTCTGAAGGATAGGTGCCTTCATGGTTCTTCTGTAATTCACGGTTTGGAATTTGGGTAATTAGTGTTGTTTGCGGAACTGTGGGGTTGATGTATGACAGCATCACCGGCCTCATCTGGACCAATGAGGTTCGGATTTGTCACAGCTGCATGAGCGCAATGTTGCATAGCCCTGATTTAGGGTGTCGGCAGTTGAGACTTGCTTGGTTGTAGACTTTCTTGGAGCTTACTCCGGAGGGTCGGTTTTGGGGTTCGCGGCTTAGGGCTGAAATCGGGGCTGCTTTGCGCCTAAACTCAGAGGCTGAATTCTGTTCAGTGACATGCTGTCACTCCTTTCACGGGACTGGGTGAATCCCCCCCAAATTGGCACTCCTTGGCATGAACAAACCGTGCAGGCCTCCTGAAGATGATTTTGTGGCAGGGGGATGGACACGTGTTTTTTTTTTTTTTAAGAGAGACCGAGACCCAAATCTTGCTTCGAACATGGCCTTTCAACAAAAAAGGGACCCTGGCCCATGGGTTCCAAAGTTGCCGGAACCTTGTTGGAAGCTGTTAAAGGACAAAAAAAAAGCCGAACTTGCGTTGGAGTCCATCTGAACTTGCAAACCTCTTGATCCCAGGTTTGGTCCACTGTGTTCCCCTAAAGGACGGTGTGTTTGGGGGGGGGGCTGCCCCAAGAGCTTTGGGGAGTGAAATGGAGGCTCCCCCTTTTTGTGGTTTTAAAGAGACACGAAAAGGAAGCCCGCCATTTCATTTTATTTATTTTGGGGCGGGAGATTCCCGCCAAAATGGACGCACCCGTCTGGGTCTATGTTCTGGTCGCTTTTCTTTTTTGTTAACACAGGTTCGCTGAATATTTTTGTTGGGTCTATTGGGTCTAATTGGGTCTTTTCACGGCTCACCCAACACATCGATCCATCGAGGCCAGCACAGCTTCTACCAGCTGATGCACCAGGGCCGAGTGGTGCCCTCCCACTTCTTGGGCTTCGCCAGCTCCCAGAACCCGGCCGCACCGCTCAGCTCAGCTCAAGCCACTCGTTTGGGGGTTGATTCCCCATGATTTTTTTTAGCGAACCGTTCTTGGCAAACACCGGATCCGTTTTCCCTTGGGTTTCCGGAGGTTTTTTGGAAAGAAGGATCCCTGGAAAGAAAGGGGAAGGTTCTCTGTTTTTCTTGGGTGCCATTTTGAACGGCGTATGGCGTGTCCAGATCCCAATGTTTCGGTGTTCCTCTTGGGCTTTCTTTTAGCCAAGAAGGGCCACAAAACGCTCGCATCAGAAAGGCAAAACGTGGAGCTCGGGCTGAGAGTTCTAGAGATACCCCTGATAACCTACTATAATGGTAAATCAGTCGGGGTGTCCTACCCGGATGTTCAAACATAATGGGTTTTCTTGCTTGGACTTTCACCCCTCTCAACAAAGTTTGGTTGATTTACAACCAGGGTACCAACCTTGCCAAGTCATTATGCTTACAGCGCGAATGAACCCAACGAGTTAAGAGGGGGGAATGGTGGCTGGTTCTCATAAAGATCGCTTCAGGGGTGCTTCCCTAAGCCACGAGTTGGATGGTTCAGTTCGGGGTCATTTTGTCAGGGACCCTACCGAGAACCAGGCTGTGTGGCAGGGCCACCCTGGGCGGGAGGGGGGTGGTGGTGATTGAAAGGGCAACTTCGAGTCAAAGAACAATGGGCGTATGAATCTTAAAAGGTGGTTGGCTCCTTTAGCGTCTGATTTATGTTTTCGAAGGGAAACGGGTCGCTGGAGGGGTCCCCTAAGTGGGACTAGGAAGGAAGCGGTCAGATCTTCGTAGGACCGGGCGACTACTGCTTTGGTCTGGAGCTTTGGACTGGAAATGTGGGTTCAATCGATTCCCATGGCAACTGGAGACAGAAGTATTATTTCGGATCCGGGTTGCGGCTTTTGCAGCCCACTTTGAAAGGAACCTGAAAAGGGGACCCTGGATTCGTTGGGTTGCAAACCCCCTTTTGTAAGAGCATCCAGACGTTTTCGAGTATGCGGCCCAATGCACAACCCGTCAGGTCGAGCTGGCCGGCGAAGCCGTGTCCAACCACGACGAGCTCATGTCCAACTTCTTCGCGCAGCCAGGCCAAAAAGACGTTTTTCGGCGGTTTGAGGAGCGGTTTCGGCGCTTCCTCATATTATGGGTGTGTTTTTGAATAGGGGACTCCCCCAAAATGGTGGTTGTTCCCTTTGGTTTCCCTTTAACACCACCAAAAAACGGGTACCTCAAAAAAAAAACACCCATGTGAGGTGGTTTCGGCGCTTCCGGGGTATGAGGTTTGGTCCCATTGCCAGATTCTGCAGGCCGATTTGGGCGTGACAAGGGGGTCTCATTCAATTGCAAAATCACAAGCCAGGGAGCTCAGTCCCTCCGCACGAAAATCCAAACCCGTTCCGGGTTTATGTTGATCCCTTCCCACATGAGGGGAGTTGGACTTGCTGGTTCGCAGGGAATGAGGGAATATCCCCTATGATCCCAAAACCTCCTTGAAGCGAGTCCAGCCACTTGCAGGGGTCTCCATTCTTTGAAACATTGGGTTGACTAAAAACCAGAATCTGAACCAGCACCGCCCTCCCAACAATAACTGCTTTTTCCCAAGTCCGAAATCGTGGTTGAGGGCTGGAACACATGTGTCATTTTTTGCACCCCCAAGTTTCAGGTGCTTTGGACTTGGATTTGAACCTCTGGCTCTTGAGGGTAAGTGGGAAACCACCCCTTCTTCCCACCCTTCACCGATTCGGCTCCAACCCAGCCTTTTTGAGGGAAGCTGAAGAGTCGGGCCCCCGCGGATTTTCGCAGATGCGCTGGCGCTGGGGAAGACCGCGGAGGAGCTCAAGGCGCGGGTGGCGCGGCTTCGCGAAGCCGGAAGTCCACGTGGCCCAACGGACGGATCAAAGGGCAAAGCAGGGTCTTTCGACCAACCCAGTTTAACCAGGTCTTTGGAAGGTTTCAAGTTTTCTTCAATGAAATCTACCGTGTCATGTTCTAAGGGATCTAAGGTGTTCATTCTCTAAGGTTCTCTTCTTTTTTGGCTTGCTCAGTTTTTGCAGCTGGTGAAAGCAAATCAGTTGGCATCCTGTCTAACTACCTCCCACCCCAAAAAAAGTGCCATGGTGCCATCGATTGCACCATGTGTACGTGTTCGTATGTGTTCATGTTCTTCAGTGTTCCTGTTTTAAGTCCGTCATGTTCTATTCAGTAGATTTTTCAGCTTGGTTCTCTTCTTTCTGCTTATTCTGGTTGATTATTCATCAGTCTATCCTGCTCCTTGTGTTGTGTGTCGATTTCGCTTGGTGTATTCGAGCGGCAGATGTTTGTGAAATTGCTCATTTGATTTTCTTGTGTTGGTTCGATGACATCTATCCTTAGCGATCCCAAAACAAAGCTTTTGCAATTGTTCTGCCGGTTGGTTGGTTGCTGTTTGGGGCTGGCAGCGGGCAGGAGTTCCATGATGTTGCATGGAACTACTGTTTGAGGTGGGGCTGGAGCAGGGTTAAATGAGGCTGGGGCGATGCGGTCATGTGTCAAGGTGTTCTTGTTGGGTCTGGTTTGGGTCTGGTTTGGAGCTTTGTACCAACCCACCAAACCCTCTTTGTGACAACAATCCCATGACCTTCTGACCATCACTCCAGCCGACCCCAAGTCTGACATAAAGTAAACATCGTCGGCCCCTGAGACGGGCTGAGTTTGACAGGCGGAGGGCGTGCCAGAGAAGCTCATTGCGCACAAGACCTTTCCCGGCGATAGGCCCTCCCTGTGCCTTGGCGTCAAGTTAGGCTGCACGAAGGCTTGGCAAGATTTGTACGGCGCCCTGAAAAACGGACACGCAAAGGAGGTCTGCTCGAGCAAAAAGTGGTTTAGGCATGTTTGAAACAACGGGGTGAAGCGCACAACCCTGATTCTGCCAGTCAGCGCATGGATGCCTTCCAGGGATTTGCCCTGAGATGAGTCGGAAACACACGGGCAGACTAAATCTCTGGTTGCTTCATTTGGAGGGGGGCATGGGAGGCCCACCCAAATTTCACACAAAAACCAGAACGCACGCCTCATTGTCCCATGTCCTCTTGGGTAGGCAAGCAATGTTGTTTGCCATGAGCAAGTCGGCTTGAAAGGCACACCCGACAGGCATCAACTATGTTAGGGGCCTAGGAATCCTAGTTTTGAGAGAAAATTGAGTTGGTTTCTCTTAAATGGCTTTCAGGGTCCATGTTTTAAGGGTCCATGGGATTTTAAGGCTCCATGACATTTTTTGGCAAAGCTGTGGGAACGCGCCTGGGACCGCCCGAGGTCCCTGCTGATGCCCACCTGCAACGCGTTCTGGTCCGAGACCTGGCGTGTGGCGGGCGACGATCAAATGCGCGTGGCGTGCTGGGCGCTCGTTGTTTGGGGTTTGTCCCCAACCCCCCCCCTCCAAATAGAATAAAATAAACGAATAATTGACAGTCATAAATAGATATAATGATGATAATAAGAAATACATCCCTTGCATTCTCCTTTAAAACGACCCACAACTAAGTGCGGGGTACCATGGCAATGGATTCCACCCCAAGTCCCCCACTTTCCCAGACTATGGGGAACTGGGTTTGGGACGATTGGAGAAAGGCGAGAAACAGGGGAAGAAGAGGCCCGTAGTGTCGGGCCCCCTCTGACGCGGGGGTTCCCTCGGGACCCTGCAAAACTGGGGGGGGGGGACACGGGTTGGATCCTATGCGTCTCGCTTGCCCAAAGCGAATCAACCTAACTTTTTGGTTTTCCCCTGATGTCCATATGCTGTAGCTCAAAAATGGCCCAAGAGGTTGCCCTAATGGAAAAGTAAACTGCGTAACCCTAGGTCTTGAATTTTTTTGCCACACGGTGATCAGCTTTTACGGGACCCGCCACAAGGCTCGGCCAGCTCTTGGCTCTCTACGAGCACCGCACCGCGGTGATAGGCGGACTGCGGACTGGTCGAGGGATGGACCGTTTGGTGGTGGCCAGTGCTTGACATCCGCTTGAGGTTTTCTCACTTGGTTTTCAGACTTCAAACTTGAGGCCTTTTTAGAAGACCTGCTTAGTGGTAAACAAAGAGCCCAGACTTTTTTCCTGACGAATCCAGCTGCAACACAAGTCAAGAGAATTGCCACCATCGCCCAGAAGCTTCGACCGTGGCTGCACTCTGGTTTCCCAAAGTCCCTGAGGCTGGCTGCTGAATGTCAACTCCTTCGACCAGCCCGGACGCCAAATGACTTGATGGGCCATGCCGAGCCTTGAACATGGTAGAATCACGAGCCAATTTGCTGCACTAGGGGCTTCTTGGAGCAAAGGGTTGCTTCACAAATTTGCTGGAGGTTGATGGCAATCTCAACTGAACGGCGAATTGCCCTGGGTACAGTACCGGGTGTGTGTTCGGTTAAAACAAACTTCACGTGACTTACCATCTCCACAATCAATCAGGAACAACGCCTGACTAAAGCAAGAGTAGCTGACAAAGACCATCAGGGGAGCAGGCACATGACCGAAGCTGAGCAGTGGCACAGGTTTTGATACGCTCAAAAGAGTGGGTCCAGTATGATGGAACAACCAGCCCGTAACTTTGAAGGGGAACCAACAGGATATTGTTACACAATAGCTCACTTCCTGAGTTCCTGGACTGCACACTTCTTGGGTAGATGATTTTGGTGGCAAACAACAAGCTCGGATTTTTTGCGGCCCCACTCAGGAAGTTGGCTCAGACATTAAGTAGTTGCCCTAAGGCTCATGACCCCCCCCGCCAGGCCCGGGCCCTCCAATGAAGAACCCGGACCCTCAGGGGCCCTTGAAAACAGCCCAAAAAGCATCCAATTGGAGCCTTAGGGTGGTGGAGCCCAAGACAGCCTCTGAGGTGGGGTGTCGAGCTGGGCAAGGTCCTGGCCAAGGAGGCCGAGGGCCCTCGGTTCGGGGATTCGGGCTTCGGCCTGGGATGGGCTGGGATCTCTGGGCACTCAAATGTACTGAGGGTGCACCCTGATGTACAAGTCAAACCCCAAAACCCCTTTGTACAGGGCATAAAAAAACACATTTGAATCTGCATGGAGTTGTCAACGGATTAGGTTCAGAGAAGTAAATGCTCGCATTGAGGGAATCGGGATCGTGACGGGCCCTGCCAAAATGCCAAAGCGCTCAAACCGTCGGCTTCCTGAAGGCCCAGGTTTGAACCCGAAAGAGGGCTCCCACTTTGGAGACGCATTGGCCTGGTGAGTCATCTTGGGACAATGTGAGGTTTACGAGTCAGAAGGGTAGGCAACAAAATAGAAAAGCACCTGCAGATGCTCTCATTGGTCATTCACTTTCACATCAGAAACATCATCTATGCGAATGCGACCTGCAAGTTTCAAAAAGCTCAGTTCGAGGCTACACGGCTCGTTTCTGCTCAGGTTTCGATGATTCGCCGGTGCGCGGCACAACGTTTTGTGTCAGCAACTCTGACACCATGTGCTCGACCCCTTGGAAGGAGGCAACACATCAAACTCTGCCTCTGCAACAGGGACGACCCCCTCTTTGTTTTGGCAGGTCCCCTCACTTAGTACTTATTGTTGTTTTGACATCCTTTTTCGGCGCCCAGGGGGGGAAGGGGGGGGGCGGTCATGTTTCTCCTCGCCAGGTGCGTGGCTATCTCAGCCAAGCGAGAAAAGGCGCAGCGGACGACTCGAAGCGCAACGCTCAGCTTGGAAGTGATTTGTACGGCTATGCTGAGTGCATGGCTACGTATATCTATTGAAGGGTCCCATTTTTTCCGCGTTTTTTTTGTTGAAAGAGTTTTTCCACTCGTGGTCTGGGTGTCTACGGTTTATTGGTTTTGGGACTCGGGAGGACATACCGCGGAAACTGCAGAGATCAGGAGAACGGAACCTTCATGTGTGTGTGTGTGTTTGGAGGGTACCCTGCCCTTAGGTTACTTTCAGGAGAACCAAAAGGACATCGCACTTTAGCGTCCTATGACCACATGTTTTGACTGTGGCTAGTGTGGCTGCTTCCTGAAATTGGGGACCGGCAGTTGGTGGTTTTTAAGCATCTCGGGGTTCCCCATTTTGAGAGGCACCCATTTTTCGAAGCACCCCCCCAGGTTTAAGTAACCCTGGCCCTGTATCCCATGTTTTTTGGAGGCTTTTTGGTGGGATGATGGCACTGGGCAACAGCCTGCTCCCTTGGAAACGTACGTGTGGATTTGAAATCCTGAGACCCCTGCTCCAAGCACATGAGGTAATGAAGTTGAGTGCCAGATGGGTCTGTCTCCAAACATGAACCCCCGTTTTTGATGGCTCTACATAGTTGTCAGAAATCAGGGCAGCTTTTCGTTACACCAAGCGAATCTCTCTCAACATCGCAGAGTGGTCATTAGTATCACACACACACACACAAACACACACACACACACACACACACACACACACACACACACACACACACACACACACACACACACACACACACACACACACACACACACACACACACACACACACACACACACACACACACACACACACACACACCACACACACACACACACACACACACACACACACACACACACACACACACACACACACACACACACACACACACACACACACACACACACACACACACACACACACACACACACACACACACACACACACACACACACACACACACACACACACACACACACACACACACACACACACACACACACACACACACACACACACACACACACACACACACACACACACACACACACACACACACACACACACACACACACACACACACACACACACACACACACACACACACACACACACACACACACACACACACACACACACACACACACACACACACACACACACACACACACACACACACACACACACACACACACACACACACACACACACACACACACACACACACACACACACACACACACACACACACACACACACACACACACACACACACACACACACACACACACAGACTCACACACACACACACACACACACACACACACACACACACACACACACACACACACACACACACACACACACACACACACACACACACACACACACACACACACACACACACACACACACACACACACACACAGACACACCCACACACACACACACACACACACACACACACACACACACACACACACACACACACACACACACACACACACACACACACACACACACACACACACACACACACACACACACACACACCACACACACACACACACCACACACACACACCACACACACACCACACACACCCCACAGACACCCACAGACACCCACAGACACCCACAGACACCCACAGACACCCACAGACACACACAGACACACACAGACACACACAGACACACACAGACACACACAGACACACACAGACACACACAGACACACACAGACACACACAGACACACACAGACACACACAGACACACACAGACACACAGACACACACAGACACTCACAGACACACACAGACACACACAGACACACACAGACACACACAGACACACACAGACACACACAGAGACACACAGAGACACACAGAGACACACAGAGACACACAGAGACAAACAGAGACACACAGAGACACACAGAGACACACAGAGACACACAGAGACACACAGAGAC